GCGCGGCCCTTTGGAACCAAAAGCGTTCCACGGCAGGGAAGAGGAGCTGCTGGACTTCTCTTCGCTGCGGGCTCAGATAGCCGCGCACCTTGAGACTGCCCCGTTGGGACATGGCCAGGGCATGCGTGGCAGCACGTGCAAGGCAATTGTCGACGGCCTGATCCGTACACACACGCTACGCTGCTACGCATCGCTACTAGCGCAGACAACGGCGAAGCTTGAGCAGGGCCACACGGATGCCATGGATTGGGCCGTTGGCCTGCTTGAGGACTCGCTGTCGCTTCTGAATGTGGTCTGGGAGGACTGGGCTGCCTCTCCGGATGCACAGTCCCCAGGATGGCCGTTCCAGGAACCTTCCTTCATCCAGGTGCTAGCTGATGAGCTGCGGACCAGTGGCCTTCTAGAGCACTGGGCCCGCACACTGATGGCAGCCGTCAAGGTTGATACTAACGTGGCGACATATTTAATGTCACGCCTGCCATCCGTGCTATCGCTGATAAAGCGCCGAGTAGCCGAGATTGAAATGCCCGCCCGACACCTGCTCGCCAGCCCCAGCCTGTCGTACATCCTGGCATCCCACCTGGTAAAGCTCTGCGTGATGCTGGACGGCGGCTCCTCGTACGGCATTCCCCCGGGCGCAACGATGATACCGCTGCTCGACAAGGCGCCGGGACGACTTTGGAAGCGGGGAAGGGGGGTTTCCACTGAGCTCGCACAGTTGGTGCTATCGCTGTGGTCTGAGCTGGTGGTAGAAGCCCGTGACGGATTGCTCACGGAAGGGTGCACCTTGTTCCTCTTGAAGGACTGGCCGCCACTGGAGCCCACTCGCAGCATCCGCGGCAGGGTCCGGCAGCGTCTGCAGCAGCTTGAAGCGGTGCTGGGGAGGCTGACAGAGGCGGAGGCGGGCGGGATCGCAGCCCTTACGGCCCTCTACGAGAGCGCCTGCCCACGTTACACCGACCTGCTGCCGGGCTATTCAGCAGACGACATCGAGACCTGCGAAGAAAACATCCTTGCTCTCTCAAGCTACCTTGCGGGCCCGCCCGTGCCCCTGCTCAACGATGTTGCCGGGTTTGATGTCTCCATGCGCCTGGCAGCGTCCATGCTGGACGGACTGTCGGGGGGCAGAGTACGGGTCAGGGTGCCCATGGCAGTCGAGGACGGTGTCAGCTTGGGCGCTCAAGCCCTGCTCTGTGCCAGGAGCTTGTGCATGGATAATGTGCTACGTGAGGGCGAGGGGGTGTCCGAGCAGCAGATGGCGAGGCTCGAGCGGTGGTGGGATACTGCGCTGTCGCTCGTGGATCGTGGCACGGCAGCGGACCCCAGCGGGGACTGGCTGCCCCGTGGTCTTCTTTCTCTGACTGGTCGCCGGAGGCCAGGTGGGTTTGTCGCATATCGGAAAAAGCACAGCAAACAAGCTGAAATGCTTGAAAGCCAGGGACGAGGTGTGAAGCCAGGTTGTCCCTGGATCGCTGTAGTAGGCAAGCTGGTAAACTGCGCCCTCCTGGCCTTGCTTACCACAACCCCTCCGTAACCTATAATCTATACCTGACTAGTTACCAACAAGTTTCCGCCTCCCATGGCTGTGCTTGCTAATTGCAGCTACTAGCTTCCTTAGGAGGCCATCTCTGGGACCCTCCCCCGACTTGGCCGCGGCACTGGCTGCCGGCTACATCCGGCGCATGGAGAAGGTTCTGCGTCGCGCGGAGGGCTCGCAGGTGTGTTGTAGGTTCGGTATCTGGTCCCTCATATCGCTTTGAAATGCACAACTGGCTCCGCACGGGGATACTGACTGTTACACGGCACACCGTACACGTGAACCTCCAACGTACGGAACCTCCAACGCATTTTCTTGGATTGCGACCACAGGATGTCTTCATCGATGCCATGCTGCTGCTGAAGCATCGCGGCCTCGACTATGACGCATGGACGCAGCTGCTAGCGTTCGGGCCTTCGCTGGAGACGGCTTCCCTGTTTGCCACGATGGGGAAGCTGCTGCGGCGTGCGACTGAGGTGCTGGCTCCGGTGCAATGTTTCTTCCAATCCATTCGGAAAGAGGCCAAGGCGGCGTGCAGGCTGTTCAACAGGCTCTGTTATTTCTTTGAACGTCACTTCACAAGTACACCGCTGCTCATGGTTGGCCTAAAGGTTCCATTCGCCAAGGCCAGGGCCAATGCTTCCAGCATGGAAGCCAGCCCAGGGGCAGGCTCAGCCTCTGTCAGGAGTGCAAACAGCCCGGCAGCCAGCGGTGCAGATGGCAGCACGGCCGTTTGCGGCGGCGATGCCGAGGAGGGTGATCGCCCCGCGGCTACGGATGCTGGCGTTGGGGGCAGCACCAGCAGCGCAGCGCTGGAGTCCGCTGATGTTGGGACCGATGCTTCCCAGGCGACAACGTCCAGCACGGCGGAGGCAGCACAAGCCGGTAGCGCTGCGCCTGTGGCTAGTCCTGCTGCTGCTGCTGCTGTTGGTAGCGGCAATGGAGGAGCAGCAGGGGGTGGCTCGGATGAGGCTGTGCGGCAGCAGCTGGCGCGCGCGCTGTCGCAACTCGTGGTGCATGTGCTGCCGGCAGTGATGTGCCTGCTGCTGCGGTTCTCGGCGCAGCCTTTCATACGCAGCTACTCCGGTGATGTGGACTCCGCACTCAATATGATCATAGCCTGGGTCCCGCCGCTGGTGGCTGCGGCAGCACAGGATGTGGCGGGGCCCGCATCTGCTGCAGCAGGCACCGCTCAGCAGGCAGCAGCGGCATCCGCAGCAGCCGAGTGGCGGTCCTTCCTGCGGCGGCAGTTCGCGCTACCGGAGTTCTTGCGACTGGTGCTGCAGAGGAACGTGGGCGATGAGCCCATGGATACAGTGGTGCGGGAGGCGCTCGTTGAGTCGCTGTGGGCGCTGGTGCGCCTGCTGCCAGACGAGCTAGCAGCGATGCTGGCGGAGGCGACAACGGCTTCTAGTGCTGCTGCTAGCACGGCTGGGGCAGCCACCCCGTCGCTGTTGGGCTTGGCGGCGCTAAGGCAGCTGTTGGGCCCTGCAGGCAAGGCACCTCAACCTGAGCTCTTAGCGGCGATTGAGCGGGTATGTGCGGGCAGCAGCAGCTGCGGTGGTGGTGAGGCGGCTAGGGAGGAGCCGCTGCCACCTGGGCTGCAGCAGTGGCTGGCGGTGGCTGCGCTGCTGCCCTCGCCCTCTTCGGTGCGCGCGTTGCTGCCCACTTGCGACAACCCGCGGTGCAGCAGCCTGGAGGGGGACAGCGAGGCGGGGCTGAAGCTGCAGGCGTGCGGGCGCTGCGGAAAGGCGAGGTACTGTTGCCGCGCATGCCAGGTGGCGCATTGGCGGGAGGCGCACAAGGTCGAGTGTGCGGGGGGATGCGGCCAGGGGGGAGGTGTCCGGAGCAGCGGGTAGTAGCATTGAGGGTTTCAGTGGTCATGCATAAGGCAAAGCACCGTTGTGCGGCACACCCGTGTGCTTTCCAACTTTTCTGGCGTTGCCAAACGCACTACTAAGTTCTAACATACGCTACCCATACTAAAAGCAGTTTATAGAACATAACTCCGCCTCTTCGTGCTGGTGTAGGGTTTAGGCATGACATGTAGACTTGACACGCCGTGTACATGGGTAGTAGGGGTAACATGACGATCTGTATGATGCGGCTTCACCATGGGTTGCTACATTGGACTGCATCCTTTGCGGTACTCGCAGCATTTATGGCAGCCCGTGCCCGCCGAGTGGTATGGCTAGCAACGAGAAACATGCCTAATGCAACATTTTGGATCCCATCGAAAATGAGTTTCTGAGCGGGCATAGGGCCCTTTAGGCGCCGCGCCCCCGCGGCCGGTGAGGCAGTGTTTGCGTACGGACAGTAGATAGTTTGCCGTTTTGCGTATTGCCCCGAGGGCTTGGTAGTAGTTGGTTCAGCGTCCTTCTTTCCTTGGTCGCTGGGTGCCTGCGGTTGTCTGCTAGACGCGTGGAGTTGCGGCAGTTTTTAGCGCCCGCCCACCCGCCCCGCTCGTTTCTTGGCTAAGGGGGAAGGTTGGAGCCGTGGGCAGGGCGGCCACACGGCCCCAACTGTTTTGGTAGTCGCCGGGCCACCAGGTGTGTTCGGAGCAACAGACGGGAGAGGCTAGGCGTGTGGGTGAACGCTGGTTGTGGCGCACGGGGCCCGGTCTGTCTTATTTCCCCCATCCCACACGTCGCCCCCTTAGCCGTGTGTTCGTGTTATCGGCCAGGCAGCATGTGCCTTGCGGTTTTGGATTTAGCAACAGAGGCGCACTGCTCTGTAGGTTTCGGTGGTATCGTTGAACGGAGCTGCGTTCCGGCTCATAGGGCTTTCGCAAACTAGTAGACCCGAGTGCTGGATTTGGAGTGTACGTCTTGCTATCGTTGGGCCTTGTTCGGACGATGCGCCGGTAATGTGGGCGCCTTGCGGTCAGTTCATTGTTAAGACTCATGGCTCCCTGGAGCCCGTACTAGCTACCTCTTGTCAGCCGTCTGGTTACAACAGTATTATCCTTTTGCGCCGGTTTGGCTCGCAGCTCGATCGGAAGTGTGACATTTGGTCGTGGTGAGTATTTGAATTGAAGCATGGTGAATGGGGCCGAACTGCTGTTGCGCGGGACGAGATAGGTCGCTCTTCTCAAGTTGTTTTGGGGTCTCGTTGCTGTTCTGAACCTTCCAGTTAGACGGGGGGGTCCTCTTCTTTGTTGTCCTTATGATGTGTTGCTGTGCTTGGATGTTCTTGTGGGCGAGGCATGCACAAATTTGTACAGCGAACACGAGCCTATACAGGACGTTACTGTATATGCGTTCATGCATGCAGTGGCGGTTGGCAGTTGGTTGGGTGCATGATTGCCGTTCCGGCGTTTGTAAAAGCTGCGCTGCGCGACAGCCCGGTTGCTATGGAGGGGAGTTGCGAGGTCTGAGCTTTGGTGGGGAAGTGACTGGTGTTTTGTGCGCCTGCGGCGTCATTTAAGAGGTACCTCGAGTCATCTAAGTCAGCTCCAGCGATGCTAGAACCGAGCGTACATGAGCCTGGATGGCACCGATTTTCCTGAACAGCAGCCAGGTAACAAAAAAGAGGAAGCCTCAGCTGAGGCAGTACCGGTCAGGCCCCCCATACAACCTCTCACTGCAATGCGAAGAAGCTTACACCTCTACATGTTGTCATCATCCCCAGGTTGCGTACCGGTATCCAGCACTACACACAGAATCCATTCAGCACGCACAACTATCTCCTGCATTCATCTGCTTTCGGTTACGGTACCAACTTGCGAATGCGCACTCAACCTCTGCCGTACAAGCGCAATCCCTCCCTGCCACTCTACCATGAAGCAGTTCCCATGTCCCACGGGTCGTACTGCTGCCCTGCCTGCACATGACCGCTGGGACCTCCTTAACACCTTCGCTGTGCGGCCTCGCAAGCACAACGCAGCAAAACATGTGCCGTGACACGGCGCTGGCGGTCCTGATGCCGGTAGCCCTCGCCTGGTCCCTTGCGTCTGCGAGCAACAGGGCGATCGTGCTGTCGGGGTGTTGTGGAGACGTGGGGCTGGCGTCACAGGACGCAGCTTTTACAAGCGATGGGACAAGGGTGCAGGGACCAGAGAGCTACGATGGGTAAGCAAGGCTGCAACGGCAGCAGCTAGGGTGGAAGCAAGAGCCCCTAGCAAGCTCACGCTTACTGCCCCCGTAGCCCTACCTGCTTAACCTTGGGAGCAAAGACCTTGGGAGTAAAGTTAAGGCGACGTGCCGCACTTGCCGCTACAGCGAGGCTTCCCGGTAGCCGCTGCGGACAGACAGGTAAGGCGGCAGCATGGAGAGGCACGCGGTGTGAACAGCGGTGCGAACATGGTTGCCAAGTCGGAGGCATGCCAGCCACTGCAGGCCCTGGAACGCACCCCGATGCTGACTGCTATGAGCCCCCTGATACCATCAATCCTTACCTTACTCCCCTTGTGCTTTAGACGTTGCGACCCTGCAGCCATAGTAGGGCTAAAGGGTGCCGCAAACAACTCCGTCTTGCCACCACGTTTGCATTGCCGCCCCTGCCGAATGCGGCCGAGAAAAGGAGCAGTTGCAGCTACAGCCCTGGTTGACCGCCTCAAGGCGATGTGGGCGCTGACTCCGCCTGCAGCCGTCGCGGCGGAGCCGAGGCGACGAGCTCTCTGTAAATGGCTCTCAGCATGCGCAGCCGCATGTGGGGTAGCAGGTGCTGCGGGGGGAGGCAGCGGCAAACCGTGTGAGGGCAGGCGAGAGCACCGGCACCGGAGCGCTGAAGACAGCCCGTAGAGAAACGGAACTGAGGCAACATACAACGAGCGACAGGCCTACATCAAGCAGGCAGCATGGCTACCTGGTACGGCACAGCCAGGCCTCCTGCGCTGTCACCAGAGGTCGCTTCAGGTCGCAACGCGAAGGCCAGGAAGAAGTGCACATCGCTGCTGGTGACAGCCTGAGGATGGTCATGCGGAGGAGGAAGCAGGGAGGGCGGCGGCGAGGGTGGGAAGGACTGCGGCAAGTTCCGTGCGCTGGTAACAGACAAGCTGTAGGGCACGACACGGCACAGCACGCAAAGCCATGCACATCTTCTACCGCCTAGTGAAAGCGAGGGGCAACAATACGGATGTCCTCCATATACTGCAGAGAAGGCATGTCCTCAGCTCCTTGCCACAGCCCTTAACGCTCTCATACAACAATACTTTCCGTACCTCACTAAGGGTAACGTACTCGACATCCCGAGAGTCGATGAAGCGGTGGCTGACGACCCCGCAGCGCCGCTCGCTTTCCAACAAGTAGCCCACACCTCCCGGAAGAATGCGTATGCTCTCTGCAGGGCCATGCGCGCGTTCCATACACGTGTGGGTAACAGTTAGCGGTTGAAGGGCGTTCGTAGTTGCCGTGTAATGCTTGCATACAGGGACGGGATTTGGGAATGCAGACGTGGGGAGCATCGGGTAGGGGACCGGTGGAGAGGGCGCAGGTTAGGCTAGTTCTCATGCTGCAAAGGTTAAGCCGCGCGCCGTACTAGATGTCGTACAAGATTTAATGCCACCACGTCGCGCCTGTCGCTCGTGCTTTCCCAACTCAAGTAGTCTAGCGGCGTTCCCCGCCTCATCCTTACCGCGCTTGACTCGGCTGAGCTCGAACAGCAATAGAAGCAGCAGGACCAGAAGCAGCAACGCTGGGGTCATCGTACGCCATGACCAGGAGCGGGGAGTGGCGGGTTCATCCGATTGGAGGAGTCCCGGCCCAGTGTTGGGTCTCAATCGCACAGGGCTGTAGTCTGGGAATAGCACAGCCTGCAGCCGCACATGGACCCAGCAGGTGTAATCAGCAGTCAAGCAAGCAGGGACGAGGCTCTTAGGAGCGCTGATATTGGTACTACGGGACGCCAATGGGGCTGTGAGTGGATTTTGGCGAGACTCCTTGGGTTCCCCTAAACCCCATTAGGCGTGGTAGAGTGGGCTTAATGAGGCATACCATGATGCCGGGGTCAAGTCGTAAGAGTTGCGCGGAAGGACAATGGCCTTTGCGGCACATCGCATGTAACTATATGTATCTAATGTCTTCATGTTGCTCGCAAGGAGCTGTCGATGCCAACACCTGGCCTTTTTGGCGTCCCCTAGTCCTCACCAATAAGAATGCCGCTGCAAACGTTGCGACGCACGCCAGCATAGGCGTGACGCATGTCTCTTGTGAGGAAACGATAAGCTCGGTTCCATTCGCTGTGCGCCGTATGTAAAGGCAAGCAGTGCCTTGAATGCAGGAAGTCGTTTCTGGTTCGAGCGGCGTGCAGCGACGGTCTTTACAGCAGCTGATCATCTCAATAGACAATGCCAGCAGGGAAAGTGGTAAGGCACCTAGCGTTCCTTCCTAACACAGGAAGGCATCCTGATGCACGCCTTTTCGCTGCCAAACACGCGTGCCATACCTCTTCTTTTCATATGTCCTAGTTACTACTGTCTTGCATGACACAGCAAGATCTTGTGTCGTCACGACTGCGTTGGAAGGATCCAAGCATCCAACTGCAATTCGTACGAATTGGTGGACTCGTCAGGACGCAAAACGTAGTCACAGAGATGCTTTAATATACAAAACCTAACCACAGTTACAGTGCACACCATCTCAGTTATTGATGCAAAGTTTGTCGATTCAACTTCCTGGCCCTGTCGCCACCTGACACAAGGACAAACAGTTTGGGCGGCAATATTGATACACGGAAACAAGTCGCCTATATGGTACCAGCCCGAAAGTCCTACGAGGCTGAGGCACGGAGTTGCGTGCTGCATCCACCACCGAAACATCTGCAAGAGCCCATGGTTCAAGTAGCTACGGCAGAAACATAATATGCAATAGCTAATGGCCTTGACTTCCCCTGCCCCTGGCACTACTACCGGCAAGCGCAACTCTTCCAAACATAACCACACCGAAATATGGTACCGGTCTGTACGACTGCCGTAACGAGGTGATTGTCCGATGCCGGCAGCTGTCGTACCAAGGTCAGGTACCCAAATTCCCGTGAAAGACATCATACCCGGTCAGCTGCAGAAAAGCGGTGTCGTTTTGGAGTAACGGTTTGGCCCATATTTACAGGATGTGCCGACTGCGAGGGCATCTCACATTGCCCATGCAGCAGACGCACGCCACACGCATGACACATGCTATCCATTGAACTCATGCGTCATGCGACATGCCAAGCCATGTCACAAGCAAGCGATGCAAGACCCACACGCTACCTTATCCTGTGCGAAGTACGCCTGCTGGCATCTCGGTCTGCTCCCGAGGTAAGGGGCGCAGCCAAAGGTAGATAGCCGCACGACAGGCTGAAGCGGCCTGCGCTGCCTGCTGACTCATCCACTCGAGGTAACACCTTCACAAGTTCACAAGCATCTTTACGCAAGGCAATGCTGTAACAACGTTGGCATTTATGCTCTGCCCTTTACGCCTCCAATCGCAACCCAACTGAACGCTCAACCGCCAACTCACAACCGCCACCCAAACACGTCACTACATATCCTGCTGCTTGGTGATCAGTCTTGCATGCCGTAGCATGATGCTGTGACGCTGGCACCGGCAGCTCGCAGCAGTTCCTCCATCTCCGTATCACGTCTCTCCAGGGCAATGATGAGCGGCGTCTTGCCATCCTGCGGCACGCATCAGGGCATTAAGTAGTTGCATGAGACGACCAGGCCGACAGTTCGCACCAGAGATGACCATCCAGGGCATTCAGGGCTCTAAGCACGCCAACAATGCGACTAAACATGTAGAGCCCCAGGACAGGCGCATGCATTCCTGCGATATCTACCCACACGTACCTTGTTTCCCATGTTGACTGCCTCCTTGGCTCCCGGAGCCGCCAGGATGGTCTTCAGCACGCCCCTGCGCCCCTGTCGAGCCGCCACGTGAAGCGGCGTGTCGCCTCTCTGCGCGGACAGGACAAGCAATTGAAGCGCAAAAGAGAAGCGTTGGCCAGGACAGTACAGCCTTGATCGGGTCTATCCCCCATATGCACCTACTGCTGCCGATGCATGAGGAGGAACTTGCGCACCGTATCTGCAGCCATGAAAGCCTGCGCGGATTCCCCTTTCCGGTGCTTGCGGATGTGCTCCACGAGGGCTCTAGCCGCTGCTACGTTGTCCTTCTTGAGGCTTACTGCATGGAGGGGTGTCCAGCCCTGCATGGGCATGGAGATGCATGCGAACGCCAGTACGTGGGGCGTTCACCGAAGGCAGCATTTGAGGCAGCAAGAAGCGTAGGGCACAAGCTGGCATAAGATGAGAACTTCGGCACTTCGGATGAGACATTCGACAATGGTAGTGGCATGCAGCTCGCTAACGGTGACAAACCGTATTCCGTACATGCCCGTGACTTCGGACAAACCCCAAAGCCCCATTCATGCCAAGCGTTTTACCTCGTCCTCTGAAGCTTTGAGAGCGTCGGCGCCTGCCTTCAGAAGGGAAAACACCACGGTACCATTCTCATCCCCCACGACTGCAATGTGAAGAGGAGTCCAGTGGTTCTGCAGCAAACAAATGCAACATTTGGGGGCGTGTTCGTTCTCAGCTTGCGGGCACAGTACAGCACACCCCACACCCCTTGATTGTACAGCGGCATCTGCCCTCTGCAGGCGCAACTGATGGCATGGATGCAAGGTACCCATCTCAAAAAGCCCCCGGCAGGCAACAGCGGATAGTCATTGGCATCTAGTGGTACGACTGGTATCGGTTGACACTTTCGAATGCCGTACATACTTGGTTAGGGGCGTTCACGTCAGCGCCTGCGCGAAGAAGCGCCTCCGTCGCCAGCGCGTGGAGGCATCCAGCGGCGATACCCAGTGCCGTGTTGCCGTCCTACACGTACGGTAGAACCAGCAAAGTCCACCCGTACTTATTGATGGCGACGCCAGCGCCAACTACCTAGTCTCGAAACTCGCAACAATGGCAGCAGCACCGTACCTTCTCCACCATGACGTTCGGGTTGACTCCCTTGTTCAGCAATGAGACGAGTCTCAGAAAGGCGGAAGTATGGTCGGCGTCGTTGCACAGCAGGAATGCGGCTCCAAGCAGGTCCTCCTGAAGTGCAGCAACAGGTTGCAAGTCATGTAACGGGTCTCACGCCATACCACCAGCAGCACCGTATCTCCAGACAGTGCCCGGTGCATGTTTACCTCGTCTTGGGAGCTAGGGATCCGCTGATCGACGTCCCGGTCGTCGCTAACGCACGCGCATGGCTGCTGCTGAGCCTTAAAGGCCACCTCCTTGCCGGTCGCGTTGGCTGCTGGTGGTGCAGGTGTGCATTGGAGGAGGTGGATAGGGAACGCAATGAAGATAACCACTAGCAACGACCAGAACATTATGGTGTCCTTTAACTGCCACTGGTGGCGATCATCCAGCTGCGGCGGAATTTGTGGGCCCTGTAGCGGCGTTGGCAACGAGGACGCAGGTGACCCGTGGGTCGGCACCGGCGGCCGTTCCGGCAGCGAGGAAGCTGAGGAAGCGGCCTCACTGAGGGGGTTGTAGCCAGAGTCGAGAAAAGGGTTACGAGCTGCAGGCTTACAGGAGTCGCACGAGCCAAGGAAATGACACGACAAACCCGCTAACCTGCTGTTCTTGTTAGCCTGGACGTCAGGCATCTTGGTCAGGCGATCTGTGGAGCAATGCGCCTCACTCATGTCCTCCTACGCAGGAAACATACACCGCGAAAGATAACTTACTTTGTAAGAGCTTTAGACAGATCCAGTCCATGGGCGCTTCAGAAACAGGCCGCGCAATGGGTCGCTCCTAATGGCGTTGCACTCACCGTCACCTGGAGCTGCGTGAAGGATGCTGCCGTGCGACAAAGCTAATGGTAAGACTATTTACCTTAATCTCTTCTTGCAGGATGATCTCCGATCCATGTAAACGCTCGTGACAATGGCTCTGCTGTACGACTCGCCAGGTACCCGTGAAAAAGCCGCCTCGACCTTTGTTCCATAACTCCATGCCATGGCAATTGTTCACGCCCATGAAGTCCTAGGCCATAGGTTAGTTCCACAGCGCTGTTCGTTGTTGCAGAGCGGAATCCTTTTGTAAACGTGGGACATGGAGCCTCGCACGTACGAGGTCTGATACTGCAGCAACGGACGGGCGCCCAAACTCTGTGAAGCCACGGTACCCGGTCGCTGCAGAATGCGTTTCCCATTCGGCTTCATGTTGCATCAGACTTACAAATATTGCAGCTGTTTAGGGCCGCAAAAGGCTTCGGGCATATGGCATAGCCCATGCAAGAACCGCATCACGCATTTTGCTTATGTACCAGGCACTATCAATTGAGCTCACGCACCATGCGAAATGACAAGCCACATGCAGATGAATGTGAGGATCACACCGCCACACGCTAACGCACCCTGCGTGAAGAAAGTATACCCGCCCGCTCGCGGTCAACGCCAAACACGCGTCAACCCACTGGGGCCGATACGGCCAAGTAGCTAAGTCACTGTCAGCAAAGTCTTGGCAAATGGTGATCACTTTTGCCATAACGTACAGTTCTTGTGTCTTGCGTGCACAAATAAGTGGGAGCCAACGCCCACGTTGCCGTCATTGTCACGAACGTCCTTATACGACATCAGTCAACACTATCCCGTTCAACAGAAGCAAGTCCTACCTAACCTAACAAATCCACAGCGCGCTCCCAGCTATGACCCAAACAAACCGTGCCTAATTACCTAGCAAGTTGACCTTCCCTGCGAGCTTCCTACACGAGCAACAGCCCTCCACTCTCCCGGTAACCCTTCCCCCACGCTGACCCCCACCCCACCCATGCCCATCATCACCGGCCACTACCGGTATCCAACCCCCACAGCCCCTCAGTCGTTCAGCGAAGTCAGCAGCGCCACACCGCGCTTAGTCCAGTGCGCGGGCTCCTTGCTGCTCGGCACCCGCACATCCAACACGAAGTTCGTCGAGTGACCCGTCGTCGACAACACGCCGCGCCGCTCCGTGGTCTTGTACATCGGGCAGAGGTAGTGCGGGTACGCCGAGAACTTAGTGATCTCGCGCGGCACCATCCAGATGGCAGGCATGGGCGTGAAGAGCACCTTGGGATCGCTCTCCTCGAGCTCGTGCCGATCATTGCACCAGCGGCAGCCCTCCAGGAACAGCCCCTGGCAGTACACGCCATCCTCGGGCGGCTCGTCAAGCTGGCCTGGTTGGTCGCGCACCTCAAAGTCAAAGTCGATGTGGTCGATGGGGATGCGGCACTTGCGCGCGAAGTTCTGCTTGGCACCCGTCAAGAACGCCTGCGTGAAGAAGAAGCCGGAGATCCAGAACACCACCGGAGCGCCGTGGTCGACCCAGCCCTGGAAGAACGCGACACGCTCCAGGACCTCCTTGACGTACGGCCCGAGAGGCTTGAGCGACGGGAAGGACTTCTTGAGCCACAGCGCGGGGACCTTGCCGTCGAACAGCGCGCGACCCACCGCGTCCAGCTCCCCGCTCATCAGCGCCAGACCCTTGACGGCCTTGCCCAGGTTCTTGAGGCTGGTGCGCACCACCGTGAGCAGGTTGTTGAAGCGAACCAGCTCCTGGGGAAGAAGAGAGGGGCGGGACACAACACACAGCCGTTGTGGGAGGGAACGAGGTGCCCAGCGACAGGGTAGGACGAAGGAATAAGCGCACGTGTGCAGGCGCATCCCTCTACACTACTGACAGGTCCACTCCGTTTTTCGCCTCACCTGCGCCAGCACTGTGTTCATGGAGTTGTAGTAGTCCTGCGGGTAGAGCCGCTCCACCGCCTCGATGTCGAAGTTGGGCGGCAGCCGCCCCAGCACCTCCGCCGCCACCTCGCCCACCGCCTGCTCGAAGGAGGCGGCTCCGCCGCTGGCCTCGCGGCTCTGGGTCAGCATCAGGCTGTCCAGCAGCAAGTTGGTTTCCTGCGGGGCGGGCACATAGGGTTGTGGTGTAAGATTGCGGAGATCGGGGACGGCCAGTCAGGTGCTAGGAGCTAAGCACGAATGCATGCCATCATGGACGCAAGGGGCGCAATGTTCCCTTCCTTCTAGGTTGTCGTAGCCCCCAGCTTATCTTCACCGCCACCCCCCCCCTCCTTGCCTGCAGGTCCTTGGTGATGTCCGCGTTCTCGTGCAGTCCGAACACCTCGGGCTGCGCGATGAGCGGCAGGCTGTTGATGTACTCCATGTAGCCCCTGAGAGGAGTGGCGGCGGGGTGGTGAGGTGGTGAGGTTAGCAGGTGGGAACAGCTAATTGTGCCCAGTAACGCATTGATAAACGATAAGCGACCAGCGTAGGCGTAGCATGAAGCCATTACACAGCTATATAACGTGGTCGGGCAGAAACAGGGGCCTAGGTGCCCTAAGGCACATGGTAACCAACTCCCGTAGGAATGTTAACGGGGCTTGGAATTTGTTGATGTGTCGTCGATGCAGGGAGCACCTACTTGTAGCTGGTGTAGGGGGGCGGGTAGTACGTGCCCGACACGGAGAACTTGTAGTTGTGTTCGTGGATCCGCGGGGTGTAGTAGGTTGACAGGATGGTCATGAGCGTGTGGCGGTCGTGGGAGTCAGTCACCTGCACCGGAGCAGCAGCAACCCCAGTAGCCGTGTTAAGCGTGCAAACAAACGGTATCGGTACACTTGCCTGAAGCCGAAGGCGCAAAGCACTGCTAGTTCCTGCCCCAGCCGACCTTTAGGTCGTGATCAACGCAAACCATTGTGAGGTTTTGTAGGTCATGCACCCGAGCCGCGTCGAACCCTGTGTCGCGCCCTGCCATGTTCTGCCCCGCACGCACCTTGCCACCGTAGTTGCACTCGCCGCAGGTGTAGGCGAGGGTGTCGTACGGAATCTCCGGATACTCGTCCAGGAACATGCGCAACTGCCGTACACTGATCCTCAAATCGTTCTCGTTGAACTCGTATGGGATGTTCCAACCGATGGGCCCGAACTTTCGCCGTTCCTGTGGTAAGCAGCAATCATGATCGCAACCACTGGTCAGTAATGACTTCGGTTGTCAAATAGCCTTAAACTCAAAGTTGCCCGCACAAATACCCGACGCATGCATGGCTGCGATGCATGCAACCCATGGTGCTGCTCCCTGCTGCCCTTCCCAGTCCCCACCTGCACGACGGAGTGGAAGAAGGCCAGTCCGAACAGCATGCTGCGGAACTCCGCGTCCTTGGCGCAGCCGGTGAAGAACTCGGGGTTGCTGAAGGGGTCGGACATGTAGGTGCGCAGCAGGCCGGCGCGGAGCCCCTTGGGCGCCTCGTTGGTCATCTTGACGCCGTTCTCGAGGATGGAGATCGGGAAGATGGGCGAGGGGTAGGAGGTGAGCCACAACCTGCGGGCGAGGATGGGAGGGAAAAGGAGGGCATATGAGCGAGGTCGATATGAGTGGAGCGCCGTGAGGTGATTGGATGCGTCCCACATGTAACATGTGCAATTCAAATTTGCACAGGACACAGGATGTGGAAGCTCCAACCTGTTTTAGCTGACAGCACCACCACTACCACCACCACCCTGCGGAGTCCCTCCACTCACCTGAAGTTGCGGTGCACCTTGCCCTCCACCAGCTGCTGCTCGCAGATGAGCTCCAGGGAGGGCAGGAAGGACTTGGCCAGGTGGCAGTTCTGAGGAGGGCAGGAAGCGAGGAAATGAGGGAAGAAAGAAGGGTCGGAGCTTGGAGGGAGCTTCAGACTGCGCGCGGCGAAGTAACACGTCCGCAAACTGCATGGCTGGCAACGAAGAGACCCATGGGTCATCACAACCATGCATGGTGGGCAAAACTCCCCAGCACCTCCCCAGCACCCGCACACGTACCTGCAGTACCACCCAGAACCCCTCCGTCATGCCCTGCTCGATCCACTTCTGCGCGATGGGCCCCTGCCCCTGCCCCAGACTGACGCTCTCCATGCGTATCCCCTTGTCGTCCGCGAACATTTGCAGCGCCGCCATGGGATCGGATCCAGGCGACAGCACGAAGATGAGCGGCGAGGTGGCCGTTGAGTCGTTGTAGGAGGGCTCGATGGCGAAGGGCATGGGCTCCACGAAGCGCTTGCCCATGGTGTCGGCCACGAAGAGCGTGATGGCGGGAATTAGCTTGTCCGGCCTGCGGTCGGATGTGGGGGGGGATACCAGTAGGAACACATCAACCCAAGGCGACAGGTCTTATTACTGCCTCATGAGTGAAAGCAGAGCGTTCGCCTTGGCATGCGATAATGAAATATACACACTGTATACAGGTATCATTCATCAATACCGGTAGCTAGGAGTGTGCTTTCAAGGCACTACGATCTACGAAAGCACCGCAGCCGCCCTCACCGGATGGTCCGCAGCACAATGATGCGCTGGAAGGGGTCCAACCGCGACTGCCAGGGCTCCGGCAGCGGCTCCGTGTGCGGCTCCAGTGAGTCGTAGATGCGCTTCCAGGCAGTCGGGTTCTCCGCCACATGCTCCGCCAGCCCCTTCCACACGTGCGCCGCTGCCAGGTCGGATGCCCGGCACACCTCACCCCACATGCGCTCGCTGATCCACTCGGGCGCCGGGTTGGGCAGCGGCAGGTCGCCCATGGCAACACCTGCGGGCGGGAAGGGGCATGGCGCATGGGATGGCGTTTGGGATTGTGGCAAGAGGGACGGGCTGGCGAGTCAGAATGGCAACGGGAAGCACCCTGCCTGCTGCCTGCCTCCCTCCCTCTGCCCGCGCCCCTCTTCCGACACACCCACCTCCCGTCAGCATGAAGCGCAGCTCGTCTGCCGCCATCTTGTGTTCGTCCATGAAGAGCTTGCTGACCAGCACGAACGCGAACAGCAGCTTGTCCTTCTCAAACAGCGACCTGGCGTGTGTCACAGGGGTGGTGTCAGGGAGGAAGGGCGCGTTCGGCAAGAGAGAATCGGCCAACATGTAGCGCTATCAGAAGACCAGCATAAGCCGCAAACATCAACGGTTGTTCTCAACCTGCCTGGTAGACGCCCCGCCACGCATACACACGCATCCACTACCCAACCTCACGGAAGGCCCTAACCCTGCCACTGTAGCAAGGCATGGCCGCATGGCCCCGCGCGCAGGACACACGCATGGCTTCGCAGCCACCCGCCCCGCACATACCTGCACACGTTCTGGTAGAGGAAGTACGTGAAGTAGCTGTTGAGCAGCTGCAGCCGGTCCTCCAGGTCATCCGAGCGCTGGCTGTCCGCAATGGCTCGCACGAACAAGTCGACGAACCAGCGCAGCGAGTACTGGTACATGGGGTCGATGTTGGCCATGTCCGTGACGCAAAAGTACAGCAGAGAGGAGTGGTGCGCGACGGGCTTGTAGCCGGCACGTGCCTCGTCGATCTTAGCCTCCGTGACGTCCGCCACCTGCTGCTTCTCGCTGATCTCGTCGGAGAGGACCTTGGAGGACTGCAGGATGTTGACCGCCTCCTCGTCCTCCAGGATGTTGCCCTCGCTGCTGGACAGCACGCGCAGGATCTCGTCCTCAATCTCCTTCAGCCGCTTCTTGTTCTCAGCACCCTGCGTGGTGGAGAGTGGGGGCGGAGGAGTGGGGAGCGGTGGCGGTGAGGAAGGCGGGCTATGAGAGGTGGGCCGCGTCGCCATTGGGCACACACAAAGCACGCCAAGCCCCACATGGTCGCGGATAACGTACCGGACGTAACAAGCTAACACTACATGATCAGAGCACCCTTACAGGTGATCCCCCCAGCTAGCTAGGATACCCCCTGCCCCCCGCGCTGGGCACTCACCACCAGGATGAGTTTGTTCTTCTCCTCCTCCAGGTCGGGCCGCTCCTTGGCCACCACGATACCCAGCAGCTGGTCCTCCAGGCCCTCGGGGGTGGTCATGAAGTTGAGCAGGCTCACCTGCAGGAGGGGATAGGTGGGGGTGGGGGCGGTGAAGAAAGAGAGGGTGTTACGGTAAGAGAACGAGAGAGCGTCGTCCTACAGAACAGCGCTAGAGGCTTTCAGCTGGCACAGCTGCCGAGGACCACCATGCATGCATGCATGTAAAAAAGATGCTATAAACCGTCAACCAGCAGTGTGTGTTCAGCCACCCTCCCTCCCTCCCTCCCTCCCTTCTCTCACCTTGGTGCACAGCTCCGGCGTGTAGTGCGGGTTGCGCAGCTTGGTGGTCATGTAGAACTTGAAGTCGTCGCTGTACTCCACCGTGGCGTCGCCCAGCCGGATGCACACCGCACCGCCCTGCTTGAAGGTCTGCTTCTGCAGCAGCGGCTCCAGCGAGGCGTCCAGCGACTCCATCACGTTTTCCAGCAGCACCGGCTTGCCGAACTGGATGGCGTTCTCCAGCGTGCGCAGGTAGTTGGCGTCCGTCAGCTTGATCACCTGTGGCAGGAAGGCGGCAGCAGCATGGCGTCCCGTCACGTTAAATACACAAAGGAGAGCGTGAGCAGCGCACGTTGTACAGCATGACGGGGCAACAAGCAGCTTACAGACCTAAAGATACCAGTGGAAAGAACAAGAACCCAGGAGTTGACATGTTTAGGGCTGCGGTGAGGACTCTCGTTCATTAGCCAGCAATGGGTGTTAGGATGCGGAGGGGCCCCGTATGTGCAAGGCAGCAGCGCACAACATGGCAGTGCAGGGGCAGGCAGGTGGGTCGCCCACCTGCAGACCCGACTCCTTCTCCATGTTCCTGATCCACTTGTTGGCCAGCCCCTGCGGGTCGATGCACAGCGGCCAGCGCCTGCCCTGGTCGATTGCGATGCTGTTCTCGGTGCTGAAGTCGTCCTTGGGCAGACCCCAGATGTTCCACTGGCGGATCTGGGGAAGGGAAGGAAGGGGGGCATGACAAGTGGGGTGGGTACGAGCAAGCAATGGCGGGCGAACAATGGGCATTGCAAAGTCCCATCGCAGCTAGCCCGCTCCCGGCCCACAACCACCCCCACCCCCACTCCCACCCCCCCACACACCCCGACACCCACCTTGACCGGATCCCCCAGCACCACTTCCAGCTTGAACCGCTCATTGCACGGCACGTCATTCCGCTGGCACGCGCTGACCCACTGCGACAGCACCGTGGAGCGGTACACCGCCGTGAAGGGCCCCAGGTAGGCGATCTGCCCCGCCGCCAGCAGCACGTCGCCCGTCAGCTTGATGTAGCGCTCGCCCAGGGTGCGAGCCGCGGTGGTCCAGCGGCTCTTCTCGCCGCCCAGCCCGCTGATGAGCTTCTCGGCGCGCTGCAGCTTGACGGTGCACATGTGCACGTCGTGCTCCAGCTTCTCCTTGCGGCGCTTCTTGTCCTGTTGGCCGTTAAGAAGAGGGAGGAAGGAAGTGAGGAGAGGATCACAGGCATGACGGGGAAGCGAAGGTGGTGCAAAAAGGGAACAGGAGGGGAAAGCGCTGCGACGCATACACCGGTCAGTTGTGGCCCCCTCCGTAAAGCCCGCTGCCAGCTAGACTCACCTGTAGGTCGGCATCCAGGCGAGCCAGCTTGTCCATGACCTGCTTCAGCTCCGCCTGCTTGGCGCGCAGAGCCGCCATTACGACCTGTGGAAGGAAGGCACACGTGCAGCACACGCACAATTGGCAACTTAGCAACCGGTACCGATATCCACCTCAGGCCTAGCACTGCGCTGACATGCATGCAAGGGAGGAGCTGAACAAGCGAGCACTAAGCCGCCATATGCAATCCAACAGCGCAACGCAGCAAAAAGTATAAGTCTGCTGCGCCCGGATGAGAATCCAGCTCCGCCGCAGCTACCCTGCTACCCCCGCTGCCCCCGCTCCCTCCCTACCTCCAGCTGCGCCTCCGCCTCCCTCAGCTTCTGTCGCTTGGGCTCCACCTCCTTGATCACCTTGTCGTACTTCTCCATCGCAATCACCCAGGAGCACAGACCGGCGCAGGCCAGGGATTGCTGCACCAGGAGGAAGTACCGGTAGGCGAGGGAAAGGGGGGGCGCAGGGGATGTCTCAGCGTTGCGTATGTGGTGGGATAAGTATGCATGACGTTGCAGTAGCTGTGTGATAGGCATGGGGAGAAGGAAACAACAACGTCGGTACTTTTAACAAGCACACGAGGCAGGACCGTTCGTATATCCGACCGTTCGAGGCACAACTCAAGCCAGCTCGCGGTCCCTTACCTTCTCAATGACCTTGGGCTGGAAGTCGGCGTCCTGTACGAACGGCCGGATCTTGAAAATGATTTCGTTGGGTATGTGGTCCTTGTCGTACTTTTTGAGCGACTCCAGGAAGTCAAACTCCATGAGCATCTTCTTGGACGCCTCCCAGTAGTCGTCCACCATGCGGCCCGTGTTGGTGTCCTTGATGCGAACCGGCTTCACACCTGCAATTAGCGGGAAATTTGAGAAGGGATGATGAGGGATGGGGGGCGGAGCACGCCGGGAGGTGCATGCTACGCTAAACGCCTTTTCGGCCAGTCGCTGCAGCCAAAACATGCTATTTCTGCACGCTATACGCCACCCTTCTTCCGCTTCCAACTACCGTTCTTCCCCCCCGCCTCCGCCACCCCCCACCCCCTCACCCTTCATGATGCAGATCGCCTCCAGCACGCGCCTCACACCTCCCGGGGGGCTCTTCATGCCCTTTACCTCCGTGATGTCCGCCGGCTTGAGCGTGTTGAGCGCCGAGATGGCGGCCTCCAGTAGCGGCATTGCCTCAGCCAGGTCAGCCTCGCACTCGTCCTTGATGGCCTTTACGGTGGCCGCCTCGGCGCTGGCAATCGCCTCCTCCTTGGAAACAACCTGAGGGGGGTGGGGCGTGGCGCGAGGCGGCGGGTGGTGTAACGTATGTATGTGTTAAGGAAACTGGCCGGATGTGTTAGGCGCTCGGATTGGAATGATGTAACTTGGTGAGCGGATGTTATTGGCGTGCAGATCTCGGCATGTAATTTGGCAAACATAGCCAAAGCTTCGTCTTGCGCTTGTCGGGATAGATAGCAGCTTAGCTGCGTCTTCGTTCCTAGGCTTGGTCCCCTACCTGCTTGACCTTGTCCGCCTCCACGCTCTCCTTGCTGATCACCTCCATGGCTGCCGCTGTCTGCCGAGTGCTCTCCTCCAGCTGCGGCTGCAGCGCGATCAGCTCCTCCTTCATTCCCGTCACGCTCTCCTCCGTCACTTGCAGCTTCTCCAGACCAATCTGGAGCAGGAGGAGTAGTGAGGAGGAGGGCAGAACGCCATCGGTATGTTCAGGGGTAGTGTCACCGGGCGCTCAACTAATGGCGGCCTGCCATCACCCCCGCTCGCTCACGCTGACCTGCCCATGCTGACGCCAGGGGACCCCCACCTCGCATGCAAGCGTGCACTCAGTCATCCAGCCCTGCTAACCCCCGCCCTACTCCTGTAGCGGTCGCTTCACATGTTGTACTTCCTCCCACCCCCCACCTCGTATCTCCGCTTGACTGTCATGACCTCGTTCTGCCTCCGCGCCAGCAGGCTCTTGTAGCTGAGCAGCAGCTCCAGGTAGGAGGTGGGCGTCACGTAGTAGTAGCGCCGGGCCTCGGCCAGGAAGCGGTCCGTGAGCACCTGGGGGACAGCACGACAGCACCAGTGACGCAAGGTACAGCACTCATTTAGAGTGAAGCGGTGAAGAAATGCCACACGAGCTACATGTATGTGTGGCTTAGCGAGACTAAGGCACCAGTATGTTGCGCCCCAGTTCAGCCTAGTAACCTCACCACCACCAGGGTTCCCCGCGACCACCATATTTCCCCCCTCCGCACCCAGCCCGCGCCCACCTGCACGCTCTGGTGGAACATGACGCACAGCCCGGGCAGCTGCGCCGCCACGCGCTCCTCGATGCCCACCAGGTTGGCCAGGAAGTTCTCAGCCACCGTGTGCAGCGCGTCGGTGGGCCACTTGGTGAACCTGGGCGGGTGGGGTTAAAGAGGAAACAACTAACTGGGTGGGTAGTGGGCGTGGTGGTGGAGTTGCAGATGTTTTGGGGTGCGAGCAGCGTTGAGAGTGTGGGGGTCTTAGGAGACCGATAAGGGAAGAGAGTGTATGGAGGGGCGTGGTTACATACATGCGCTTGCAAGGCCCCTGTGCTGCGTATGCATGCTGTTTACTCTGCCGGGCCTCACCAGTCGATGGTGGTGCAGTTGACGAGCGAGGGGAACTTGCGCAGCCGCTCCCGGAAGCTGTCGCCCACGGGGCTGAAGGACAGCACGATGTGCATGTTGCGTCGTACTTCCTGTACGAAGAAGTTGTACAGCGCCGTACGGCCGTTGTCCATACCGGCGGACTTGGCACGTGGCCGGATGTTCTCAAAGATGCCCACCAAGTCGGCGGACTGCGAGGGAACAAGCGGGGGATTCACGTTAGGATTGCACACGATTGCATGCAGTCGAGTGCTAACAAGACCAGCACCCTGCAAGATACAAACCCTCCCATAGCCGCAAAGGCCTGCACCAATCATTCATCTTCTCATTCCATAACGTGGCTACGGTGGGTTGCTGCTCCCGTCCATATCCACCCACGCCTCCTCGCTGTCACATATGCACTGTGCGGAGTGCAGCATAGCCCAGCGTCGAAGCACCAGTCAGGCAGACAGGCTGCAGCTGTCCCCATCCCCCGCCTCTTGCATCCTCCTCCTCCTGCGCACCTGCATGAGGTTCGGCACCTCGTACGTGTTGAGCAGGTTCGAGATGTCCTCCACGAAGCTCTCCTCCTTGATCTGCGTGTCACTGAACAGGAACACAACCCGCTTGTTGGCCTCACCCGCCATGCGCAACACCTGCAGGGAAGGTGGGAAGGGGAGGAGGGAGGGAGGGAAAGAACACATTGAGGCATGAACACAGGGTAGCGCCGTAGCACCATTCAGCCTCTTCATTCCGTGCTCGTCAAGGTTGTCATACATGTCCAGATACCGGTAGCCGCAACCCAGCAAGGCTGGCTATACCCACATGCCCCGCCTTCCAACCCCAATGGTCACACAAGCTCTCAAGCTCGTAACCCGTACCTTCTTGAGGTCATCATGCCACTCCGTCTTGCAGTACGTCTTGCTGATCTCAATCTGAAACACCTCATACTCCTCGATGAACGCCGCCAGCCGCGTCAGGCTCTGCCGCCCGCTGCCGCCCACCCCCACCAGCAGCGCATTGCCACCCGGACTTGTGATGATCCGGCAGATGCGCGCGATGTGCTCCAACGCAAACTGGAAGATCACCAGGTTCATCGGCTTCTTGCTGGTCGCGTTGAAATCCGCTAGGTACTCGTTCACAACGCGCGTCAGCGCGGACTGGTCCTTCACCTCCATGTAGACCCGTGGGTCGGCGCCAGGGATCATGAAATCCGCAAAGATGAGCGATCGAAGCGCGGTGACCATGGTGTCTGGCGGGATGTCGCCGGGTGTGTTGTCCAAGGACAGGACCTTGTTCATCTTCTCCTTGAAGTGCCTCTCCACGAGGCCGGCCAGCGTCTGCCCCATCCATACACGGTCCGAGTCGTCGACGAGGCGGTCGTAGAAGACGCGGAGTACCTCGTGCGTCCAGAGGCGGATCATGGAGATGGAGTCATCGACTGACCCGGCAGCCTTGGTGATGCCCTGTGGGGGGTGCGCGGTGTGCGGAGAGGTTAGTTGCACAGGGTTGTTGAGGGTTGTGGCGTGCACAGGTTGGAGCGATCACCATGGCACAGCGCGCTCTCTCGCGTCAACTCCATCTGCGATTCCACAACAATGCCCCGCAGCAGCAACAGCAGCATCAGGTTCAGCCAAAGCTTCCGTGCCGCACCTGGAAGACCTTGGACACGTCTCGCAGGTTGAAGGTGTAGTGGCTCTTGGCGGGCGTGGGCAGCAGCTCCTTCTGCGCCAGCACGTAGGCGTCCAGCGAGGCAGCCACCAGCGGGCGGGCCAGTCGCGCCACGCCGCCCGCCTGGTAGTTGTACTTCTTGAGCCACCAGTCCACCAGCGCCGTGAAGATGGTGCTGCAGGGGGAGAGGTGAGGGTGAGGCGGTGGAACGGAAGGTAGGTGTTGTTGGTGGTGGTCAGCTGGTATATGTCTACAAGTGCGCATCTAGCAACCGGACCGCTGTTTTTACACCCTCATTCCACATGGGATGTGCATATACTACTGCAGTCCACCATATAAACCGATTGTGGATAGCAACCGAAACACCCCTTTCACGCGCACCTGAGGTTGTCGGTGTCAAAGGCGGTGAGGCTGACGACGGAGTAGTGGCGCAGGTAGCGGTTGGTGACGGCGTTGCGGCCGCCACCCGGCGGACCCATGGCCGCCACGAACTGCACGTCCACCAGCCGCCGCAGCGTGAGCTCCTTGCGGTCGTACCAGCCGCTGTGGTCCATGAACTGACGCAGCAGCTCGATGGGCGGCTGCGCGCCGTACTCCTCAACCTGACGGGTGGGGGGCAACAGTGGCGGCGGCGGGCATTGCGCGGAGTGCGTGACGTGACGTATGCTTAAGCAGGGTGCATGAGTGCTTTGCAGGTAGCGGGAGAAGACTCTTGTAAAATGGGTACGTAAAGCCGCACTTGCCGCATAAATGGATAAGTTGGTGGCTGCGGTGAGGGCTGCTAAGCCGCCTGAACGCCATGCTGACTGCCTATCGTGCTACAGGTGCAGTAGAGTCTCAGCGGCGTCGGCGCACCTGGGGCATGTTGAGGTCGTCCACGAAGATGACCATGTGCTTCCCCTGGGGCGGTCCGTACACTCCGCGGCGCCGCTTGTCCATCTTGCCGTCGATGATGTCCTGCGTCATGTTGGCGCTGGTCTGCGCGGAGAAGGTCATCAGCATGCTGATGAAGCTGTCGGGGAGGCCCTCCTGCAGGTGCCGCTTCACGTACGCCGTCTTGCCCGTGCCTGCAAGCAGGGTTGGTTGTGAAACATGAGGGGCTCACTTGGGGCATCCGGCATGGAACACGTGTTTATAGGTTAAACATGGCTGAATCCAACCATTGCCCCTTTGCAAGCCCTAGAAAGGCCATTCGCCCGCACCCACCCACCCACCATTACGGTCTTCTATGGTCACGGCCTGTGTTCCCATCATGCCCACCAAGTTACACGCCCACCCGCCCACCCACCCACCTGTGGGCCCCACGAACAGGCAGTGCATGTGGTGCGTCACCAGCTTGTCCAGCAGGTAGGTGTAGCGCACGGTGTCCACGGTGGGCACGATGATGGTGGTGTACTCCGCCTCCAGGTCCAGCGCGCGGCTCTCGATGGTGTCCAGCCAGGGAATCCACTTGAGGCGGCCCTTGTCGAAGGTGAACTCGTACACCTGGGCGGTGCGGGAGCGGGGAGCAGGGCGGGGCAGGGAATGTGAGCAGAGCAAGTATGCAAGAAGAATTGGTCTCGACAGCGAACAGGCGTAGTAGGCGGCTTTGTCTTGCCCCATGCGATGGGGGCACGGAGAGCAATACCAGTGCCATGCAGTAAAGCCGGTCAGCAGCAACACCTGCCACACGAGTAAAGCCGGCTTACCGTCCTGCCCTCTGGGAACGGCACTGACAGCTTGTGCGGCGTGCCGGGCGCCACAAACGACGCAATCTCCGGCGCCGGGTCATGCGCCAGGAGCTTCCTCAGGTGCAAGTCGAACTTGTGCCTGCCCTCCTCGTCCGCCAGGCCTCCCACACTCCACACCAGCGAAAACAGGAAGCAGCCCTGCAGCAGCGCGGCCATCTGGGGGTCCGTGAGGTCCTTAATTGATACCGCCGCTGGTGCAGCAGCGCCGCCAGCCGGCGACTCCGCTTTGAACTCATCCAGGTGACACTCCAACATGCGCATGAGGGAGGACACCAGGTTGATGTCTTGCATGGGCTGGGGGCTGCGGATGAGCTTCAACGCGACACGCAGCATGGGAGGGACCAGCCAGTCGAACAACGCCGTCAGCTGTGCCTTGAGCGCAGGAGTGACGGCGGCCGGCAGGGTGTTGAGCCAGGAAAGCATGACGGGACGCCAGCCCAGCAGTGCGGGCTGCACGTAGACCATGCCGCAACGGGAGACGGTGGCAGGCGAGGCGACGGCTAGGTCCTGCACCTCGAAGATCATGTTCATCAGCCCTTGCATGGCGATGATCTCGCCGCTGTTGAGGCACAGCTTCTTGTTGTCGTCCAGCACGGTGTTCATGTTCTCAATCCAGATGGCGTCCACAGGGCCGTCGAAGATGACCCACTTGCGATCCGGCGAGGTATCACGAGCGGTGTTGCGGAAAATCACTGCCAGCACGCCATCAGTCCATTCCTTGGATACCGGATCCTCCGCGCCGTACAGCTGACCCATGGTAATGGACTTCGGGTTGAGGACGTAGAACTTGGTGTGGTACTCCTTGTTCAGCCCCTTGGCATGCAAGTCCGACAGCGCAGCAGCAAGAACACGGTACGCGGCCGTCTTCATGCCGTACGAGTACCCGACGAGCATCAGCCCGTGTCGTACGATAATCATTTCGTACAGCTGGATGATCTTGATGATGAAGCTGTCGAGCGGCTGCAGGTTGGTCTTTGCGCAGTTGTCCTTGATGGCCGCGACCAGGTTATCGTAGTCCACAACGGGCAGGGCGACGCCCGGGAAGAGATCCGACAGGATGCCGTTGAAGAGCGGAACGTCTTGGTCCAGGAACTTGGGCAGGTTAACGTCGTTGATGGCGCGAAGCATGAGCACGTCCTCCGCGGAGTCGGGGAAGACGCGCTTCAGGTTGCCGGCCGCACGCAGCACACTCATCACGGCGCGCATGCCTGCAAAAGCCAGAATTCGTTACAAGCGAAGAGACGTCAGCCCCGTATGGTTACCGTACTACTGCGACAATTCGGTACAATAACTGCAAGCAGCATGCGTGCCCAAACGACCATCAGAAGCCCCGAACCTAAGTCAGAACCGCAGCCGGGACCCAAGCCAAGCCCCATCTCACCGTAGTCGTAGTGGTCCTGGCTGGACAGCTGCTCCGAGCATAGGCGGTACGTCTGCACCAGCTTGCGCGCCATGGCTCGCGCCTCCAGGTAGCCGTAGCTGTAGAGGATGATCTCACTGATCATGGCGTAGTCGGGGACCATCATGGCCACGTCACGGAACAGCGCCTGCGTGGTGGAAAGGGAGGGCATGGTATACAGTCCCTTCAGGTTTTCCTTGACAATCAGTACTGCTCTGGCGTCCCGTGCGATGTATACCGATCATTTAGGAAGGCGTCAAAGTGACACGCCGGGCGAGGGCTACCTAGTAAGCAGCGTCCAGTTGTAGAAAGACATTCAGTTAGCATGTTTGTGGTTGCGCGCGCTTGCCGTACCTTGAGGTTATCTGGCAGCTCGGAGCGGCCCGCGTATCCGGGATTCATGGTGATGAAGGCGTTGCAGGTGGGCACCAGCCGGATCTCGCTGCCCTCGAAGATGAAGGTCTTCACCTTGAGCGCCTTGGCGCGAATGATGGTGAGGACCTGATACAGGGGAAGCGGGGACGGACGGATGGGGAAAGGGTGCGGAAAGGAGAGGCAGCATAGGATGAGAGGCCGCGTGAGGTGGAGGGCCACAGCTGGCACGCAACATGCGTTGCATGCGACCTTTACAACGCCCGCCCTGCTGTCGTAAGCTCGTAACCCACCAGCCCCTCAACACGCCTCACCTGCTGCGCCACCACAGACAGCACCTCCAGCTCGATGCGGTTGAACTCATCGAAGCAGGCCCAGGCGCCGCTGCACGCAAGGCCCTTGAAGAAACGACCCATGGCCTGTAAAGCAGTGGAGGAGAAAACAGCCAAGGGATGTAGCCGTCAGCTCGCCCTGCTGTCGTAAGCAAGACTGGCTCCAGCAACGTAATGAAAGCAAGACTGGCTCCAGCACATGCCCAGAACTGACCTTGAAGCCAATGCTCACCACCCTCATGCAATCGCCAGCCCCATGACAGCCAAATGAAGCTTCTTACCTTGTAGTCCAGGCCATCCGAGCAGTTAAACACCACGCACTGGATCGCAAGCGCCTTGGACAGATCCTTGGTGGTCTCCGTCTTGCCGGTGCCCGCCGGCCCCGCGGGCGCACCCCCCAGGTTCATGTGGATGGCGCCCATGAGGGTGCGGTAGCAGCGGTCGGTGAGCGGCGTGATGACCAGGCGCCCGCTGTTGCCCAGGTACTCGTAGCCGTACAGTGCCTCCGCGTTGATCATGCGCACCACCAGCGTCTCCTGCGGGTGCACACCTGCAGCGGCGCGTACACACAAACACGCAGGTAAGCATGCGTGCCAGGCGCTATGCAAGATGTGCAATATAGCGGTCTGGGTGAGTGCCATTTCACGCAGTTCGCGACCGACATGCCATGCAGCACATGGAGTCATGCAAGCAACACATGCGGGCAAGCTGGACCCTGTGCCCCAAGAAGCACAACCATGCACCCATATCTCACCCGAAGGCGGCAGCTCGTTGAACTCCCAGTAGTACCGCATCTGGCTCTCCCACTTGAAGTCGCGCGTGTCCTCCACCCTGTCCTTGGCCATGTTGGCAACCACGTCGCGAGCGTGCACGTCGATCACCACCAGCGCGCCGCAGGTGGCTCGCTCCAGGGAGGCTAGCTGGCCGCGGACCAGGTTGACGATCTTGTTGAGCTCCATGGTGCAGCGCTCGGAGTAGGCGGCCAGGCCCTTGCTACCGCCCGTGCGGATGGCCTCCGTCACCTCACGCGTCCAGTACACCTGCGGGCGAGCAAGGTGTGGTTAATGCGCTGAAAGCATGGGGGCTAAAAAGGCCAACGTCCCGTGATACTTACCGGTACGCCGGAAATGGCGGCTTGAGATAGGCGTCTACATGCCATGCCCGTGTGCCCACCTAAGCATGCCCCAGGTTGGTAGTGATTTATACCGGTAACTCCCCCCCGCCCAACAACTCCTTGCCTGGCTGCAGTTGAGGACGATCTGTCCGGGCCACTCCAGGATCCAGCGGCTGCGCTCCGTCCTGGCGTACGCCTCCAGCGCGTCACCCGCGATCTTGTGCAGCGTGCGGCGGATGCAGCTCTCCGAGTCCAGCAGCCACTTCTCTACAGCACCTGCGGGCGTGAGTGCGAGTGCGGGTTGCGGAGGGAAGGAGCCCGATGATGTGTCAGCAGGACTGTGTCAGCTTGTGCTAGCAATAAACACCGTGCTATAACACTCATCTTGATGTAGCGAATAAGCGTTGTTGAGGCACCATGTGTGATGTTGCTGACATGTTGCCCATGGGAACAGATAGAGGCTTTGAAGCATAGCAGGGCGTACACCACACCGACACATGACACCGCACGCTACCTGTTGCTGCAGGGTTGACGGTCTCGATCCACTGGATCTTCTCCCCCTCCACGGACACCAGGCCGCTGATTTCGCCGTTCTTCTCGAAGTTGAACTCCCGCACCGCCTCAAAGCACTTCTTCACGAAGGGCTGCACCTTGAGCGGGTCCTTGGCCTCAGACAGGATCTGCGAGGGCGGGCAGGCGGGCGAAAGTTAGGAACGGGTGCTACGGCGCTACGGCGGCATGCCTTGCTATTGGTGCCGCTACGCAGGAGTTATGATTGGAGCTAGAAGGGCTGGTAGAAGGGCTGTTGTAACGCAAGCCGCATGTAGGATGAGACAAAAGAGACCTCTTCCACCGGCATGTGAACCCACTTCCAGCACTTCATCGTTGGACAGGAAGAAGAAGCGCGGGAAGGCCGTCTTCTTCATATCCAGGAAGTCGTTCAGACCTGCGGAGGGGGCGGCACCGTCCGTTAAATGGAAAGGGCGACCAGAAGGCAAGAAGGCTGCATGGGTACATGTGCTGCAACAGGAGCTGTCCATGTGTTTCTTTCTTTCCTACTTCCGCTCTTACCCTTCTCGACGACGTCCAAGGACTGGTTGCAGGACACCAAGTCCTCCAGCAGTGCGGGCATGTCGGCCACCTCCATCATCAGGGGCTGGGCGCGAACCTGCACACACGTGTGGGGTGGTAGCGGTTGGCAACCGACTTAAACAGCTGAAGTGTCTGTGCGGCTGAGTGGCTGAGTGGTATGCGAAGACACAGAGAACGTTGGGATGCATCATGGGAAGGGACGTAGACTGTTGCTATGCGCCGGGTCTGTACCCCATGCATCATGCATGCATGCATGCAAGTGCAAAGCCGCCCGTGTGTGGCCCCACCCACCTTCTCCATGATCCGCCTCCAGATGCCGTCCATGTCCCTGAAGGCCTGCCCCTCGCGCGGGATCTGCTTCATGATCTCCTCCGCCCCGAAGATGGGCTCCAGGTACTGCCACTTGCCCTGGCACTTCAGCCACTGGTCCAGAATGTCCTGTGGGAAGCAAGCAATCAAGCAAGCATGAAAGGCCGCAGCATAGTTAGCATGCACAGTTGCCATATGGACACAGCAACAAGCAAACGCACCATATGCGCATATGGGTCATGGGTTTGCTGCTACCCAACCTCCAACCCTGGCCCCGCCACGCACCTGGAATCGAACCAGCTTTCGCTCCCAGGGTTGCAGTCGGTCCACAAAGGGCTTTGCGAAGGGCGAGGCGGACATGGCCTGGCTCTTCACGATGTGGTCGTCCAGCAGACCCAGCGCCTCGTCTACTGGGCCGCCCTTGAGGATGAAGGTACCTGCATGCGGAGATACGTACGGTGGGGTGCGGGGTGCCAGCTTGCCACATGCATAAGAGGGTGTGCTTTAAGCCACAAGGATTATTCAGCTCATTCCAGCTCAGTTGTTCAGGCATCCAAGCAGCTAAAAGCAGCCAGGGGATCTAGACAGGGCATCCAAGCAGCAGCCCAGCCCCTCACACCTGTTTCCTTCCACGGCCCCAGCTCGAACGCCAGGCCCTGCCAGTCCGACATCATCTTGTCCAGCGCCTTCTCAATGCTCCACTCGCGGCTAGCCGAATCAGAAATGTCGGTGATCTTGGTGATGTGCATGGCGATGTCGTAGTCCAGCAGGCGCTTCAGACTCGTCACCTCGTCGCGCTTGATCTCAAAGCCCACGATGTCGGCTAGTGCAGCCCAGTGGCGCTCCCGCAGGCCGGGGTTGCAGATGGCGGTGATGAGCGGCAGGTGCTCCTGCGGGGCGCACAGGAGACCGAGGATTAGGGGTCAGGGGTCACATGACGGCCCCTACTTGCTGTATGTGTCATGCATGCCGGCGAGCACTTAGTCAACAATTTCCAGCACGTCTAGTACATCTTCAGGCATGGGGCTGTATAGGATACCGGTAATTAGGCCAGCGGGGGCGACCAAGCCATGCAAGGGACACAGGTCCTCACCTGGAAGGACTGCACGCGCGTCTTGGCCTCCTCCGCCACCGCCAGCGGGGCCTCCCGGTGCTCCGTGGCGCCCGCACTGCCGCTGAACACCTTGGTCAGCTTGTACAGCCGCCTGCACGGCAGCGGTGGTGAGCGGGGTGGTGAGTAAGCGAGGGGCAATGTGCCCCTAATGAGATGGTAGGATGGTTGGATTCCACATGCCACTGTCAGGCCTACCCTGCCCAGCGTGCGTCCCATGGGTCATGAGCTCATGACGGGCTTACACAACGCACGTAAGGCAGCAGCACAGCACGCACCTGAAGGCATCGTTGGTGTCGGCCTCCACCTCCTCGGGGTTCAGCTTGTAGAAGGGGCCGTTCATCCAGGAAGCGAACTTGTCGTAAAACTGCGACACGGTGGTCCACAGGATGACGTACGGCTCCAGGGTGGACGACATCTTGCCGATGATGCCGTACTTGGTGGGCGCCCAACCGAACAACCGCTCCTGCGCGTTGATCTGGTCGGCCTCCACCTGAGCCACCTTGAGCTTCTCCGCGAGGTCAGTCACCTGCGACACAATCGTTAGGATCGTAAGCGACTCGGGGTGCAATTTCCACAACGCCAACCCGATGCATGATGGGGTTATGGTTTATAACAGCAGCAACCAAAATCCAGCCGGAGCAAGCCGGAGAACAAGTGTGAGACTCCCGCACCACGCGCGCATGCGTGCGCATTAATACCTCTCCGGCGATCTGGTCCCTCTTGACGATCTCATTCTTGGTGCCGTACGATTCCACCTCCCGCGAGTACGTCTCCAGCAGCTCCCCAAAGTCCCGCCGCCGCGCCTTGAGCTGCGCCTCAAAGTCCTTGTGCTCCGCATTGGCCTTGGCGTTGGCGTCGCGCATCACCTGGGGGGTGCGGCGGGGGGCAGCAAAGGCATAAGGTTTGTGGTTTTGTGAAACCCTTTCATACATGGTAACTACACGGTGATGGGAATAGCTTCGAGATGAGAGGATGGAAGCGAGCTGCGTGACTCCAGGTGTCAGGAGTTCCGAGGGCTGGCGCGGGTTTCATGCTGACATGATGCATGCAGGCCATCCATGCAAACCATGCACCCATCCATCCTTTCGCCCACCTCGATCATCTTGCGAGGCCATTCGTACGCCTTGATCGCCACCTCAAGGTCCTCCTCGGGAATGGCCAGCCTGTGGCTCATCATGAAGTCGTCCTTCTCCTTGTTCCGGGCAATGGCCTCCCGCAGCCGCTCCTGATCCTGACTGCACTTGGTGATGTACTTCTTCAGCGCCAGCAGCTCCTCCGCCGTGTTGCTGATCTTGCCCACCTCTCCCGTCATGATCTGCGGGAGAGGGGCACGTACCAGCAGGTTCGGGTGCGCAGTCGCAGGCGGGCTGGGTGCCGGGTAGGCGGAACGAGGATGGCAGCAACAAGGCATGCAAGCACCGGATCGTTACCGCAACGCCATCGACACCGCCCTCCGTCTCTTCCCTTCCCTCCCTTCCACTTCCAAAGAAACCCCAGAACACATGACCCCACACCCCCTGCATGCCCCACCTGGTACTCCTCGTGTATCTTGATGTTGGTGTTGCGCACCGTGTTGCGCAGGTACTCCAGCAGCTGGTAGATCAGCTGCTCCGCGCTGCTCGCCAACAGGTCCTTGAAGGCACGGCAGCGGACCACGTAGATGCCCGTACGGACGTCATCCGTACAGATCACTCGTACGGCGTCCGCGGCGGCCCGCAGCCGGTCGATCTCCGCTTGGAACTCGGTCAGGCTGGGCTCCGGCTGGCGCTCGCAGAAGGCCCTGACGGCGGCTGCGGCCTCGTCGCCAATGAGCCACATCCACTCCTCGAACATGGCAGCTAGGCGCTTGGGGGCTAGCGAGTTGCGCTCCATTACATGCAACACCGCCTGCGAGGAGGGTTTCCAGGGTGTGATGATGTAGGAACGCATTACGGAGGACGCCAACAAGCATTAACACGGCTATGAACCTGCAGCCGTATGCCTTCCCGCGGGAGGACATGGAAAGCCGGGGCCTATTGGCAACTTATCTGTCGTAGATCGCATGGGGAAAGAACTGCATGCCATGCTAAACAACACGTGCGCTCACAGTACCCACACATCGGCTTCCGAAACTCGCGGCCAGTTTACTTAACCCAGCACCCCCAGCAGTCCCCAGCTGACCTTCTTCGCCACCACGACGCTCTCCTCCTGCAGGCTGGTGGTTGGGATGGTTGAGCTGCTGGGCGGGATGAGGGTGCCGGGCAGCGGCGGCGTGAAGCTGGTGGAGCCCACCGTGTTGGACCCCACCCGCGGCAGCCCCGTCACCGCCAGCACCAGGTTGTCCAGGATGGTGCGCACGTGGTCCTCGCACTCCTGGAAGGTGGGCTTGTAGGAGGGCTTGCCTGCGAGGGGAGGAGGGGGGCGGAGGGTGGGAGGAGGGTGGGATGGCAGGGATGCCGAGGAGGCCATGGGCAGGGGGTTGGGCGCGGAAGCAGTCGGCAGGGTGCTTGCATGGTATGTGCACCTTCACGTGGCATGAGTCCATGCCGCCTTGCCAGTACTGTACACTTGCCTTCCGCCGCGGCATGCCTAACAGCAGCCACGCTAAAGCCATACCTAGCACCTCACATAGCATCTCACCTGCCCTCCCGGCCACCCTTCTTACGCCTTCTCCGAGTGCCCACTTCACCCCATTCCCCTTCCTCTTGTCATCACTTCAACTGCTACCCGGTGCCCTTCCCGTCTCTCCTTACGCCCCAGCCCTCCCCGCACCCACCATCGATCTCCACCAGGTCCAGCACAAACACCGGCGGCACGCTCCACATGAGGCGGTCCTGCTGCGGGTCCACCTCGTCCCGCGGCTGGTGCTTCTCAAACAGCTCCACATAGCTATCCAGCGAGCGCTGCACCAGCCCGCGCAGCTGGTTGCTCTGCAGCGTGGCAACGGAGCGGTAATAGGCGTCCGCGTCACCGTTAATGAACACCGGCGGCAGCCGGTTGAAGACCTCCAGGCTCTTCGGCGCCCAACTCGTCCACAGCTGGTTCTTAACCTGCTCCATGACCTCCGTCTGCTGGTCGTAAAACTTATCCGCCAGGATGGGAAGCGAGGCCAGGAAGTCCGGAGAGCGCACGTCCACGAGGAGTGCGGAAGAAAAGCGGCTGCTGTGCCACAGACGTGAGAGCTCGAGTGCGTTCGCGCTCAGCGTCTGCAGCGTCCAGGCCACCTCCGCGCGTGCCGTGTCCACGTCAGCATGCCAGCTGGGCAGAAGCACGCGGTCCACCACAGCCCGCCAGGACTCCTGCGTTGGCGTGGGAATGGCCAGCAGCGGCTCCAGCGCCTGCAGGTTCAGCCGGTGGCGCTCCACGGGAGAGCTGATGACGTAATCCACCATGGTTCGTTTCATGGCGGTTACGTACTCCGCGTGGATTTCCTCCAGGGAGGATCGCAGCAGCGCGTCGTAGTACTGCTGGGATACGCCGTACGGCGGTGCGGGCGGCACCATGCCCAGCGAGTTGCCCGCCCATTCCTCGCGGAAAGGCGCGACGTGGCGCGGGTCCACCCCGGCCTCCACGTAGTAGTGGTAGCGCAGGATGGCGTCCACTAGGTGGTCTAGCGGCACGTCGCCCAGGGCTGTTTGGGGGGTTTGGAGGAGGGCGGCAGGAAGAGAGGAAGGGGATGGGGGAACGGGGCGGGGAGGAAGAGGGCATGGTGAAGGGGCGGAGAGCTCCGGAGGAAGGCAGAGGCCCCGCATTGTATAGGATTGCCATGCGGTTCGAAAACGGACGGCCAGCACCACGTTCCCACCCTGCTGCCAGCTTTCCCCGCGTACAGCGACCCAAATCAACCGCCTAGCCCCACATCCTGTCCTTCTGACTTGCAGCTTAGCTCTGGCGATACTGCAATGCGGCCCTCGCGTTTGCTGTCTGGCTCCAAAGCCAGCTGACGCACCCCAGGATAGCCATGACTGGAACACAAACCCTCCTGCGCATTGCGATCCGCCCCTTCACTGCATACGCCTCCCCTAGTTGCCCTGCCCTCACTGCCGCCTCAGCTTTCCTCTCAACCGTTCCTAACCAAGAGCACGCACCTAGCCTCGCTGCTTTCGCGCCCCGCCGCCCATCAAACAGCAGCTCCATTTCAGCCGCCGGCCGCTTCATGTTCCTCCATCGTCCAGGGCTGGTGTTAGGGCTGCCGCCTGCCCCTGCTGCTGGTGACCCGTTCCCGTAGGCCCCGCCGTTGCTGCCGTTAATGGGCGGCAGCGACGCCCGTGGGCTGATTGGCCGACTGCTGCTAAACGAGGAACGCACGTCCTGGAGCGTCCCCTTGCCGCGTAACCGCGGAGCGTTTGGGTCCTGGAAGGAAGCGGGGCAAGATCGGGAGTGAGGTGCGGTTACAACACAGAGTGGCGAACCCGCGTGGCCCCGCTGTGCGGATGGCGGGCCTTGCTGAGCTGGAAGGGAGGGACCTACACTGTCGATTCCCTTGGGTGCTCGCTTGGGTACACTCACCTGCGGGAACTCCTCAAACAGGATGGCAGCTGCCCGCATGGAGCTCGGGGAGTAGTTGTTGCCGATGCGGTTTGACGGGGAGTGGTAAAAGGGATCGTCCTTGTTGCCATACGGTGAGGCGCGGGTGAACAGCGACCGGTCGTTGAGGAGCGGTGGCAGCTTCCGGCGCTGTGACATAATCTATGGGTGAAAGGGAGGGGTGCGATGGTGGATGCAGGTTGGAGTATAGCAGCATGGATATCCCTCACGGGACCGCTCGCATGAAGGCCCCGTAACCCTAACCAACCCCATCGTTGAAGATCAGAGGCTGTGCATGCCTTCATTGAAACCCCACGGGGGGAACCGGACTGGCAACCAACCGAACACCCGCAAGGCGTATCTGCATGGCGTCTCCCGTCCTTTTGAGCATGAGAATACGACTTGAATCCCTTTGTGAATCCCTTTATGCATGATGGGAAGAGGGCATGAGGGCTATGGCGGATGGAGAAGTGGTGTCGTCGTAATTGACGACATTGGCACCCACCTCCGCAGCCATCTTTCCTTCATTTCTCCTAGCGAAGTTATCCAGTACTTCCGGAAGCGAAGCTGTGTACGGGTCTTTCCCCTGCAATAACCACGTTTGACCCCACACAATTTTGCAAGCGCTTCAAGAGGAGCCCAAGGCGAATAGCAGGAACAACTGAAACGTTTCTGCATATATGCAGACAGCCTTGCCTTCGGAATTTCATCGCGCCCGCTCCTCGCCGATTGCATGTGCCAAACCAGCGGGTGAGAAGCCACGGATAGCTGCTTCCAATAGGGATCGCCCGCATCATCTGCAGAGATGATTAAGCTCTCCATTCTTCCAGAGCCTAAGATTTGTCAGTTCAGTGACTATAAAATGCTAACTTTCACGCATCTTGCCGTTAACTAATTTAGTTTGGGGTCCAGCCTACATACAAAAACTGTAGTAACCCATTTTGCTGCCAGCGTTGTGCTTTCCTTTGCGCTGTACGGCAGCAGGTAGGAAACGGACCTGGGGAAGGAACGAGATTTAAGTATGGGGGTGGGGGCCTGATGTGGTGCTGAAGTTAATGACGGACTGCGAGAATGCCGCGAGGTACTTTGACAGATCCTTGCGGGACCCAATGGTGCAGTTACAAAGGGGATTTCTTCGGGAGATTGCGGGTGTTAAAGTCTCGCCGGATAAGTTGCTGTTTAAGGAGTTTAACCAGCGCCCCCTGCATGTCTTTTGGTTGGAACTGTTTCTGAGGTTTTGGAATGACCTGGTCAAGCAGAAGGACACGGTCTACCACCAGGCGTTGCGAGGTGAAATTCGTTCGGCCCTCAGTACTGAGCATTATGATGGCTGGGGTTCTAAGGTGTTGAAGATTCTGAAAATGTTAGGGACGGATTTGACGGCCTTGGGGGGTGAGTTGGACTTGAATGCGCGTGTGGAACGTATTGCTGGCACGGAGCTAAATGTGTCTACTCTCACTAAAAAGTTTGCTGATAGAATGGATGCGGATTGGGAGGATAGGAGTTTGGAAGATGACCCGCGGCTTTTCAACCCAGTAGACCCCGTACCTGGGGTTGGAGTTAAGATGTGCAGGTACAAAAATTGGATGGGTGACCCGGTTGACAGGGGGTACATTACTCAGCGGCAGCATGTGAACCTGATGCGTTTTCGGCTGTGTGTGTGGGGCATTGAAGCCAATCGCCCTAGGGGTAGGCAACGAGTAGCGCGTGTCTGTCCTATGTGTGCCGTGCAGGGGTCGCCGGGGAGAGTGGAAGATGAGAAGCACATCCTCATTGAATGTCCCGCTTACGATGATTTGCGTGACAAGATATGGGAAAGTGGTGTCTCACGGGATGCTGATATGATTGCTGTCATGGGCATGGAGAATCAGGCATTGCTTGCTAGTGTAATCACTAGCATGCGAAGTCGCAGGATTGCGCAGACAGGGTTTATCATATGATTAGCGTTCTGTTTGTTGTCTCTTTTGTTTGCTTTTTCTTCTTTTGGTTGTTTTCGCGTTTTGTGCTCGCGATCCATGAGCCTTCTGGCTCGGACGGATCTTACGAGCTCGGTACGAAGCTTGTAACACATACATACATACAAGTATGTTTACATATTATATAGTATTGTTAATCCTGGCGTGCTTCGCACACCAAGCGCGGCGGCATTTACCTTCTTCACCGTAAGAACCGCGGTTCATGACACATGTTTGCGCACCTTGTTGGCCAAAACATATACCCATCCACATAAAAGACTAACGATGAACCACATGAGGGTATCTTGCTTGTTCCATGCGGCCCGCCACTTCGTTCAGCCAAATGGTTGAGCATGCGACATGGTGCAACCCTGTCAACAGGCGAGATGTTTGGAAAGATCACAAAGACGTGTGTTGGGAAGCGCGTCAGTCCATTGTAAGCTGTGTTACAAGCTTGTGGTGCCCGACGGTGACAGCACCACCTTACCTGATTTGGCCAGCCATGTGCCTCTCCAGGACAGTAAGGGGGGTTGCCCACCGTTGCTAGTTAGGAACACCCAAAGCATTTTCGACAATCGGCATGCGCACAGACAACCTGAGATACGAAGACGCCCTAGTAGCGAAACAGACTACAGAGTTGGCGTTAGTGAACCATCACAGGCTGCTGCTTCCGATCACTGAAAGCGACAATCAAGCCTAGCCCTCTGTGTCAAGTGTGGCGCTGTGCCCGCGTGCACAGCGCAAGATTACTAAGCTAGTCACGGCTCCTCGTCTAGGCAGGCTTTTGACACCTTCCCGCTTGCGCGCAAGACCGTCCTGGTCCCGGTCGTACCGGTACGTGATTGCGACAGGTCGCTACAAGCTAGCAACCCGTAAATCAGGCCAAGCCGCGCCATGCCATGCTTGCTCACTACTCCTCTTATACCGAGCGATAGAGCCTCTCCCGTTCCTTAACCCCCCAACCCTGAACCTCCTACTCATCAACTGACACCTGCGCTGTTATGGTGTGAAATCCCCCCGCGTTCGAGAGCATACCTCATGAGGCTCAAACCGACCGCTTCCACAGAAGCAATGCTAACGCCGTTCTCATCTCATCCGGACCCGGCAGCCCAACGGACCCGGCCGCTCATGCGGATAGCCGGCGCCCTCCTCCTGTAGGCTCACTTCCGGAGCAGTGCACTGCGCGAGGCTCCTTCCCATGGAGCGTAAAGAGTTCCCGGATCCCGCGACCCCCACTCGACATCTACATCTTGTTGCGGGCCCGCAGGCGCTGCTTGTACTCGTCAAAGGTGCCGTGGAAGGGCGTCACGTGGCCCTCCTCGCACATCCACAGCTCGTCCACCGTGCTCTCGATCAGGAACTGGTCGTGCGACACCTGCGGGTGATTGCGCGGAGGCGGAAAGGGGCGCGGAAGTGATGCGGGAGTAGCGTAACGAGTGTGTTTCCACCCAAGAATGCCTGCTGCCCCGCTCTTACCATGAGCACGCCGCCCTTGAAGGTGGCAAGGCCCTGGATGAGCGCGTTGACTGCGTCAATGTCCAGATGGTTGCTGGGCTCTGTACGGCAGGGGAACATGGCAGGATTTAAATGTACGACAATCGAGGAGGAAGAGCGGGGACAGTACGGGTACACCTTGAGGTACGAAAACGACTAAAGAGTAAAGGCACAGATGCGGAAACCTCCCGCCCGTATATGGCTGCCTGAGAAAAGAGCACATGCCGTATTGGCATGCTCCGTATCGCTTAACAACAATGCCCCTCACCAAACAGCGCACCCACCCACTCACCATCCAGCAGCAGGATGTGCGGCTTTGTGAAGGTCATCTTGGCGAACGCCACGCGGCTCTTCTGCCCTCCAGACAGCGTGTACATGGCCTGACCTGCGGGGGTGCAGGAGGAGCACAGCAGCAGCAGGTGAGGTGCCGTATAACCCGTGTGTAAGACGGCACAGCTGCAGTGAAACGGCTCTAGCCCGGGCACAGCACTCACAGCTCAGTCTCCACTGCGAAGCTCCCGTGTACGGTAGTCACCGGCCTCTTATCCCCGCGGCTAGCCCACTTCCCGACTTTCAACACCCGACCCGCCTGCCCGCCCCCTCAGCGCCTCCACCGCCTCCCACCTGCCAGCGTTGCGGGCACTCCGAAGCTGGACAGGTGCCCTCGCAGCTCAGGCTCCTTGGCGTCGGGGAAGGTGCGAGCCATCACCTGGGGCAGGGGGGGGGGTGGAGGCGAGGGGAGCGCAGCGGGGAGCAGCAAGGGTGCCGTAATCAGGTGGTACCGTAATCAGTGGGACGGGGGCGAGCATAACACACCCCGTGCGCGTGATTGAGATACCTGATAGGGCAAGGACACTAGTGTTCTACAAAGACTACAATGCCCATGACCCATATGGCGGTGAAGCCCGGCGCTAACACGGTATGTGTGTCCCTTGTCCTCCCAGTGCTGCCCAGTGCTACCAGTGCTACCAGTGCTGCCCATGGCACATGTAGTCGCTGCTGCTCACCTGCAGCGGTGTGAGCGCCAGGTCCAGTCCGTCCACGTGGTGCTGGCTGAAGGTGGCCAGACGCACCTGAACACACGGGGGGGCATGGCAGGCAGGCAGGCAGGCAGATTGGGGGGGGGGGTGTAGATGAGGTACCGGTGGTTGGCGGGTAAGGGGGAGTGGGCAGCCTTCATTACTACGGTCAACAGCATACTGTCATTCCGTCTAGTGGGCATATAAATTACTTTGGCAACGCATGGGTAGCGAGCACACGAAGCCTGACAGCAGCAGGTAGCAGGCTCTTTATAAAACCCTCATGCATGGTGTGCACTTACCCTTGTGTTCCTCGTGATTGACCCCTGGGTCGGTTGTAGCTTGCCCGAGATGAGGTTGAGCAGCGTGGACTTGCCGATGCCGTTGGGGCCCTGTTGGGGGCGGTGAGCGGGGCTTAGTGGGGTGATGTTGTGCGGGAGGCCGCGCATCCAGGATGACATCTAACAGAACTACTTAGTACAAGCCATGCCATTTCCAATGAATCCGCTTTCCTCTTTTCACCCCCCATCTCCATCCCCACCCACCACAATGGCGAAGCGGCTCTCCAGATCCAACCCGAAGTTCAGGTTCCTGGCCAGGGCAACAACAAGCCGTTTAGCCATAGCAGAACCGGTACGTTAAGCATAGTATGTATGCAACTGGCCGGCATGAATAACCCAATACGACGGAGGCATCCTTGCATGCTTCCACTCGCTTGCGGCTTACGGAATAACCCCGTAAGGACGTCTACACCTCCTCCCACCCCCACACACTCTATCTCTCTCACTTGAACAGCAAGGGGCCGCCCGGGTAGCCGAAGGACACGTCGTTGAAGCCAATGATGGGCGGTGCCGCAGCGCCCTCGGGCTCGGGGAAGCTGAACACGTACTCGGGGTCCTGGTGTGGGGGTGTGCAGGGGTTGTGCGGGTTGAGGAGGGAGATGTCGGATGTGGTGTACAAACACCAGCAGCGTGTTCTCCCCCCTAGCAGCTACCGTACTGTGACCCTCTCCCACTCCCTGACTCTTCATCACCTCAGCCCACCGCCTGCACTTCCTCGTCCTCCCCTTGCCTCCCTCCTGCCTCCTCCCTGCCCTGCCTCCCTGCCCAGCCCGGGCCCCTGCCCCTGCCCCCCCCCCCCCCCGCCCTCACCTCCTCCATCACCTCCACCTCCGCCATCCGCTCCAGCGCCTTGATGCGCGACTGCACCAGTGCGGCGCGGTTGGCGTTGTACCTGAGGGGTTGACGAGGGGTGCAGGGGGTTAACAGAGGAGAGTAACAGAAGACACATCAGGTGGCATATACCAGTACACGACGAGAACTGAAAGCAGGAGACCGAAGAGACCGAGGCGAGGATGAAAGAAGAACACAAAAAAACGCCGGCCCTGTTTTTTCCCCTGCCCGCAAGTAGTCGCGCACCGCATCGTCCACCCTTCCGAGCCCCTATATTCCGTACCTGAAGCGGTCGATGAACTGCTGCACGTGCTTGCGCTTGGCGTCCTGCGCCTCCGCCGCCTTGCGGGCGTTACGCAGCCGCTCCGTCATGGTCTTCTCAAACACACTGTAGTTGCCCTGGGGGGTGGGGGATGGCGGGGAAGTGAGGAGAGGCGGTTGGGGGTGGGTAGAGTAGGTGGGTACTGCCCCTCTTCATGCCCCCGCTCTGGTATGCACCCCCGGGGCCTTACCGTGTATGTCATTCCTAACCTTACTCAGTGTATGTCATTCCTGGCCTTACTTCGCATGTCACCCCCGGTCTAACTTCGCACGTCACCCCTCCCCCCGCCCTTACCTTGTATGTGATGATCTTCTGCGAGTGCAGGTGCAGGATGTCGGTGGCCACCACGTTGAGGAACTCGCGCGCGTGTGACACCACCAGCAGCGTCTTGGGCCACTTGACCAGGTAGTCCTCCAGCCACAACACTGGAGGGAGGGGGGAGCAGGGCGGCAGGAGCAAGGCGGAGGAGGAGGAGATCAGAAGGTTCGGATGGTTAACGATCGTGGCAGCCCGTACAGCCACACCGCCGCCCTCCCGCAACGTTACTGGCTTTGAGCTAATTCGGGTCTGGGCGGGTCGGGCTGGCGTACATGTTGCAAACCGTGATGACGCCTTATCACACGGTCAGTTCGGTGCTTCCTCTTTACCCCCCCTCCCCCCAACACGGTATGGTCTTTGACCCCTCCCCCTACCCGCATGCAGGTCCAGATGGTTTGTGGGCTCATCCAGCAGCAGCAGGTCGGGCTCCACGAACAGCGCCCGAGCCAGCGCCACGCGCATGCGCCAGCCGCCGCTGAAGGTGCGCGTGGGCCGCCGCATCATGTCGGCGTCGAAGGAGAGGCCGGCCAGGATGGAGGCGGCGCGGGCCTCGGCACCTTGGGTGGGAGGGATGGGGTTGGGGTGATGATGATGATGATGATGGGGGGAGTGTTGCATGGAAGGACGGAAGCGGGGATGCAGGAAAGGGAAGCCCGTAGGCCGGGAGCCAGTGTATGTGTTATAAGCTTGACACGAAGCCAAACCGAGGGCTGTTGCGGGGCTGGCGAAAGGCAAACCTTTCGGCCCGACAAGTACGACAACGAAGCAAAAGGACCCACCATCCGCGTCAATCTCCTGCAGCCGCTGGTACACCGCCACCAGCCGAGCCGCCATGGCGGTTTCCGACGCATCGCCGCCGCTACCGTTGGCGGTCGTTGCTGCGTCCTTGGCACCTGCCGTTGCTGCTGCCGCAGCAGCTGCGGATGCTGCCACGTCTTTGCGATCGCGGTTGAGCGCTTTCATCAGCTCCGCCTCCTCCTGCGCGGTGTGATGCAGCCAGGATACGGCAGCAGCAGCGGCAGCGGGCAGCGCTTGAGAGGAAGGACTCATTTCTCATGCATGCGATCAGCAGCGTACCAGCCCGCCCCTGAACCCGCCCTCGGACTGCTCGCATGCAAACCCTCACTAGCCCCATCTCCCTCCAATTAGCCCTCCACCCCGCTAGCCCCCTCTCCCTCTCACTAGCCCTCCCCCTCCTCCTTCCTGACCTTCAGCAGCTCGGTTCGCTCCGTGTCGCAAGCCAGCACCGCCTCTATGACGGGCGTGTCGTCGCCCACCACCTCCTGCTCCACGTGAAGCACCTGGAAGGCAGTGGGGGAAGCGGGAGGGAGGGCATACGGCAGCGTTGAGACACTTGAGAGCCACCATGTGTGGGAACGGCCGTCTCCATAGGGCCGCCGTCCTACTTCTGCTCTGCTTGCTTCAATGCTACACGTTGCACGCCCTGCCCACCGGTCCGCTGCCACCCAGGATAGCAGACGAGCCGGCGGCAACTGCTGTACCCAAGTCCTCCCAAGGGGTTCCCAAAAGGCCGCCGCACTTCGACATACCGGCACACCCCAGGGCTGCTGTCCTCATGTGCCCCATGCTTACCTGGCAGTTGCTGGGTATCCCCTTGATATCATGTCCCGCAAGCGCTCGCAGCAGTGTCGTCTTGCCTGGGGGGAAGCGGGACAGAGGTACCGCAGCGGGCGCAGTCTGGACATGCATCGTGGTGCACCTTGGTGCTACGACCACGAGCTCCTCACGTACCGGTACCTCATTCCGACCGGGGGCCCAATTGCACCGTACGCGATTAACCGGTTAACAACAGGCAGGCACGCAGCAACCCACCGGACGTAACAGCTCAGACCTCCGCTGCCATGCACGATACCAACCCGGTCACCAGCCCAGCCCCGCCACGCCCCCAGGCGCGCACCCCACACGCCCGCCCCCGGCCCCACCCGTTCCGTTCCTGCCGATGAGGCCGTATCTCCGCCCGAACGCCAGCATCACGGTGGCGTCCGTCACCAGCTCCTTGCCGCCGTTGCTCAGGCTGAAGGACTCCAGCATCACGTCGCGAAGGCCGCCGCCGCCCCTGGAGTGGGGGAGGGGTGTGGCCGGGCAGCATGGGTGCGGACATGGGGAGGTAAGCGCCATGTGGAGGATAGCCGGCATGGAGGGCATGCATGGGAGGGCATGCATGCAAGGACAGGGAGGACAGGACAGGGAGGACAGTGATACCATGAAGGAAGCGGGCATGAGCATGTACGGGATAGCAGGCCAAAGTATGCGGTCCCCAGTGTTTAAACCGTGTTTGCGAAGTTGCTTGGAGTGTAGTTGCATGTCTGGGACTCGACCCAGATGGGAGATGACCCAGATGGGAATCGTACGTGCCCCGCCATCCAAGTTCCGCCTTCCCCATTCCCCCGTCCCTAAGAAACGATGTGAAACCGTGTGATCTGACGGGCCACGACTTACTTGTTGCGAATGATGGTGGGAATGTCACCCTGGAGGGAGTGGGCTGCGCGGGCTTGGTGAGCCGCAAGAACCTGGGGGAGGGAGGGGTTCAGGAAAGGAGGTGAGAGGGTTAGTTAATCACAAGACGCGACGTAAGCTCTGTTCTTGTCTTTCAGCCTTCTCCCAACTCCTTGGTTCTTAGCCGATGCCACGCGCAGTCGTGTTAACGACCACCCCCCTCATCATGCCTCTGCCCCCCCATCCCAAGTCCTCACCTTGCGCACCGCCTCCTCCTCCTTAGCCGCCCGCTTCTCAAACTTCGCCCGGTCCTTCTCGCTCATGGGGGCGGCCTTACCCTCATCGCCAAAGGGAGTCTGTGGGAACAAGGTATGCGGGCAGTGTACAATGCGTTGCTTTCCTCCGTTGCCCTTCAATGGCCGTCACGGTACCGGTAACCCGCCGAAAGGTCGCGGCGAGCGGGGACAAAGGTAAACTACACACCTGGATAAGATGGCGATAGGATTGCTCCTGGTACAGAACCGCCCGACTGTCAGCTTTGGAGAGCTGCACAGGACCAGTCTCCAAAGCGCGAACCGTCGGCACCGACGCAGTCGCACGCAACGACAGCTTCTCCGCCAGCATGCGGCAAGCTTCGCGTGCATCGTCATCGTTTTTGACACAATGACCGTCAATCTGCGGGGTATGCCGGGTCCGTTCGGTTGATGGGCGTTGGTCATGGGGATGAAGACTGCCGCAGGCCGGGCTACACTTCTCCGGAAGCTTACCAGAAATGGTCCTATCGCATCATAAGCTTCTTCTCCTTGCTCGCCAAACTCAAAGTGCTCATCTTCGAGGACGCCGCAAATGTAATCTAGGATAGTGGGGTCGCCCTTTCCATCAAACAATCCATGTACTACTTTCTTAATTTGCTCAGCATCGTGTGTGCTCATGGCGATAGCGTCAAGTAGAGGGAGAAAATTTGTAGGCTCTTCAGTTCATCCTCGTGGAGCAGCGCTGGCTTCAAGTCACCCCTGCAGCTGCTAAAGATCAACTGTAGGTGAGGGTCCGATGTTACGGACTGCAAGCTAACGGAGGTACTCGACCCTTAAGCAGGCTTGGTACGGCACCCAATTGGACCCCGGGGACGGAGCTAGCCAGCTCCGGCGCAGGACCATCAATGCAAGCCGTTCCTGACACGTTGTCAAGCCACTACTCAAATTTAATGGGCATCGACGAAGTTCAAACCAGGTACCGAGGATTCCTCCGCAACAGCCTTGTCATTGAACGCTGCAGACGGGCATGCTTGTGACGCCGCTAACCTTTTCCACCAGACTCCATGAACATTCATAATAGACATGCAGCGAAGAGTACCGGCGAAGCGGCCTTAAATGCGCCAGATATGCAATTTTACATGTACAGCATCGACCGTGGGGACACGTAGAGTCAGCGACGGAGAAAAGAATACTTGCAGCTTCTCTGGCTATGCCTACCAACCCCAGTCCTGCATCTCCCTACTCCTACCGCTACATCTCAGACGCGTGGGAAGCAAAGCCTTCACACCTCACCTCCACTGCAATGGCGGTGTGTTGCACGAGTCCCTCTACTTTTGACAGCACCCGGCCATGCCCCAGGTCGCCTCCATCCTCAAGCCCGCAGCGCCGCTTTTGATGCTCACTACACTGCCCACAAGCCCCTTCGTTGCTCACCCCCTGACGCCCTCCCTCCTGCAGTCCTCCAATTCGTATGTACCCCAGGACTATCACGCAACGCGCCATGCGGTAAACCCAATCTAGAGATAGCGCGCGGGTGGCAGCGCCGTCAAGAACGTCTACACGTGTCCCATGGAACCCTCAGGTTCTAAGTTGCTCAAACCTACACTTCCCTACACCCGTCCTACTAACCGGTACCCATCCCATGCCCACGTACCGTCCCTCCACTCCCATTTATTTCAGACACCTACTCTCCGCCCACCCACGACAGCTCACCCAGTTCCCTAAACCCGCCGCTTGCCGCTGCTGCCTTCTGCTATGAAGCTTGCTTGCATCACGTCCTCATGTACGGCATGCACCCCTGACCAACCCAAATTGACCCAGATGGGAGCAGCTCCCGGCACTGCATGCCCGGTGCAACATTCCTCATGCCCGGCGCCACAGGTCTCATACCGAGCCCAGCTAAGCTTAGCTCCGCTTTGGAAACCATGCGCCGGAAACCATGCGCGCCTCGTGCTGTCATGCTGCTACGCCTCATGCCGAGCCCAGCAGCACCGCCGGCAGCCCATCAAACACCAGCTGCGCCACGTCCTGCCGCTCCGCCTTCACCGACACGTCCACCCCGCCCGCACCCGCAACGAACTTGAGCTCCAACAACACCTGCGCGAGGGAGAGGAGGAAAGGGACGAAAGCCGGCAAGAGCTCAGTGCTCAGTCCTCAAAACAGACATCCTGAACTGCTTGCTGCATGTTAAGGCTGGCGTTTGGTGCGCTCTACGGAGACCTAGCAAGTTGTGCAGCGCAAGCCAACTGCCTTCCAACACATGTCTGTCAGTAGCCGTGTCGTACATGATAACAGCAAGCAGTTAAGGCCGCCCCTGATGCGGATCAGATCGAGCCCACGCACCTGCCCCACGCCGCCTGCGGAGATGCGGCACGTGGCGTAGATGGCGTCCTGGCCGGTAGCGGGTACCTGTGCAGGCCGTGGCGACACGCACGGTAAGCAAAGTCGGGTACCGGGGTTCGGTAAGTAGTGCCAGGTTGGCCCCATCTCGGCAGCCCGCTCCTCCTCCCTCAGCATCACACCCCTACGAAGGAACCATGCATGCGGCAGGTGCCATGCTCCATGCATGCCCCCCCCAATCCTCGTAGTCTTCTCCCGCCCCTCACCCTCACCTGGCGGTGCGCCAGCACAAAGAGGTTCGCTGCCGCCAGTCGCTGCTTGGCGGACTCGGCGGAGGGGACAGCCAGGGGTAGCCGCGCACTGGTCTCGGGTGGGAGCGCCTGAGGGGCGTTGCAGGGTCATCAACAGGCACACAGGGTCAAGGCACAGGGAAAGGTAGCGTAGGCAGGCCAAGGCAGCCTAATAGGGAGGTGCATGCGGCAAGGGATGAGAAGCGACCCTGGTGTAATCAAAAGGCCAGATGCCGGGCATGAGCCCATGAGGCGCCTCTCAGCATCTTGCCAGCATTCTGCGAGACAGTCAAGCGTGTCACCTCACCTTCCACGCCGCAAGGAAATCCGCTGCCTCCATGGTCCCGTTCTCCTCCGTCAGCGCGGACAGCGGCACCGAGTCGTTGAAGTACAGCACGCCAACCTGCGAGTGGAGATACCAACCGACCCATGGGTCGTAACAAACAGAGCGGCGGACAAAGGCGTGCCGGCTACTCCGGTTCCCTCTTTAGTCTTTACTCCCAGCCTCCCACCCTTCCTCCGCTTACATTTCTTCCACCGGCCCCCCCAGTTGCAACCTCCCTATCATGCAAGTTGCCCTTGCACACCTCCCTTGCCCCTGTCCGCCCTCCGCACCCCCACCTGGTTTGTCCTGAGCGCCACCTGCAGAGCGGTGCTGAGCGGCGGCGGCGTCACCTTGCCGGCGTCCACCAGCAGCGGCACCCGCACCGGGACAAGGGAGCTGGGGGGCACGGCACTGCCGCCACCGGGGGTGGACAGCACCAGCACCTGGGGGTTGTCAGGGGAGGAGCAGGTTAGGGGGATGAGAAGGATGAAAAGGAGGAAATGAGGGTGTGTGGAGGAGCCGAGGAGGGGCTGAAGTGGGTTGGAGCGAAGCGTGTCTGGGAGAAAGGCTGGGAGGATAGCGGCTCTAGGCGTCGACATGTGGGTTATGATGAAGTTGTGTGGGGTTGGTATTAAGTAACGGACACGTGAGGCTTCTGAAGCCTCACCCAACATGGCCAGCTAGCCGCTATACGAGCACCGGTACAGGCACCAGAGCTGTGCATACCTGGCTGGCGGGACTGAGACCGAAGCTGTTGCGGTTGGTCTGGATCATGAGACCGTCCACGGGGGCAGCCTGGGGGGAACACAGTAGGGGGGGCGTGGTTGCCGTTGCACTGGAGGGCGGAAGAGCGATACTGCCGAAGAAGGCCAACATTGCGTCGCATCGAGGCGCTTTGCATCCTGGAGTCCCTTCCTCAGCATGCTTCAGCAACTACCGTGAGTTGTCTCCCTAGCTTTAAAGCTGACTGCTGAAGGAACCCTTGCGGCCTCCGCAATACATGCATCGTCCGTTTGTCCCTTCCCAGCAAAGCGCTAGCAAGTTTATCCCCCCCCCCGCCTTTATAACCCTACGCTGCAACACCACCCCCTCCACCGCCCTCACCGTGTCGTTCCGCAGGGCTAGCTGGTACACCACCTGCCCTCCTTGCCGCACCAGCCGCCCCTGCACCGATACGCCCCCAGGGTTGCTCAGCAGCACGGGCAGCTGCGACAGCGCGGCGGCAGACAAGCCGCCGGCCGCCGCTCCCGCCGCCCCAGCAGCAGCAACCCCAGCGGCCCCAGAAGCGGACCCGGAGCCGAAGGAAGCAAAGGGATCGGAGGAGCCGACTGCGGCGGCTGGGGCAGCAGCGGGGACGGAGGAGCTCGCCGCAGGGGCACCTGCGTTTGCGTTCACAAAGTAATGGAGTGAGCGTCAGAACACTCCTTCCTTTCATGGTCGTTTCTATGGTTCTAGGTCTTTCTCACAAGTCTGGGTCATGAGGTATCGGAAACCCCCCAAGCGCCCTTACCTCCTCCTATGTCCAGCCCGCCCAACAAGTCGTCCAGGCCCCGGGCAGCCGGCGGCTGCTGCGGCGGCACCGCTGCTCCCAACCCCGCAGCCGCTGCTGGCGCGGGCGGTGGCGCGGGTGTGGCGTCCGACAGGTCCAGCAGGTCCCCCACGGAGCTGGCCACTGCTGCGGCCGCTGCGCCCGCCGCTGCAGCCATGTTGTTGTCAGACACCATGGCGCCCGGCACGGTGCCATCCTCCTCCTGCAGGCAGGCAGGCGGAACGGGTAAACATACAGGTAAGGGTGAAACACGGCTGACGTGGTATCGTAGAACGGGTGGACTACCAAAGCATGCTTGTCCAAAGCGGGTCACAAGCCTCACACGGTAACAACTTCCCACCCCCGCCCCTTCCAGCGCACAAAAGCAGCTGCGTAGGAACGTCGCATGCGCGCGCGCAGTGACCACGTACATCGAATTTGCGGCTGCCCAGCTCCTCCGCGCGTGTGACGGCCAGGCGCTGCCTGCTGACAAATGTCTCGGGCGGGCGGTGGTAGACGGCCGCCACGGTGGCCAGGTGGCGCGACACCAGCTGCTCCAGCAGGGAGGGATCCAGCGTGGAGGAGTCGTCCGCGATGACCGGCTTCTCGGCCAGCACCACGTCCTTGGCGGCCTGAAGGTGGGAGGAGGGGGGATGTGATCGGTACCGTGAGGGAGGCACAGGCACAAGCGTACGGGATACACAGAGCCCCAGGAGCACTTTCGCACACGCTCAGTCCTCCAGTCTCTACCATCACACCACAAGTCGCACCCGACCCCACCGCCCACGCACCTCCGGGTCTGTAGACAGCAGGCGCCAGTAGATGTAGGCCCTGTCTCGCAGGTCGGGGTTGTCCGTCTCGGTGGTGGCGCAGGAGAGCACGGCGGAGATCATCTTCTGCGCGCTCTCGGTGGGCTTCTTCAGGAAGAGCTTCACGGTGGCGGTCAGCAGCTGCAGCTGGACCTGCGGGAGGAGGGGGGAGGGACGGGAAGGGAGGGAGGGAGGGTAAGGGGGGTAGGGAAGGAAAGGGCACGGGAGGAGTGGGATTGCGTGTGGCGTTCATGACGGGTGGCATGCGGCGAAGCGGCACATCACGGAAGGACGGATCTCCCAACCATGGATCTTTGAACCATGTGGTCTTTGTGCTCTTCCCAACATTCAAGGACACCTCCCACCCTTACGAGCTTTCCTTCACCCCCTTCACCACGCTCTCTCCCCCCCAGGCCTTCCTGCCATACCGGTCTCCTCCGGAAACGTCTCCCGCCCGCCCCCCTCCCCACCCTTCCCACCCCACCATGCTGGTTTCCTCCGGGAAGGTCTCCAGGAACGCCTCCAGCAGCTCGTCCGCGTTGTCGATGCGCTCCGCGTACTCCCCGATGATCCACACCATGCTGCTCTTGGCCTCCGGCTCGTCCAGGCTGTCCAGGTTGTCGCACAGGGTGGCGATGATGGACTCGTACTGGTTGGGGTAGCGCCGGAAGATGTCCTGGAAGGGGGGAAGAGGGGGGAGGCGGGTGATGGTGAGGGACGCCGAGGGGAAGGACAGGAAAAGGAAGGGGTGCCGACAACTCAGCAGGTAGGGAAGTAGGTACTACGCATGGGCCGCATGGTAGTGCTTGCAACATAGCCTTAAGGATATCACCCACTTAAGGATATCCAGCCCTATGCAACCTCCTCGACACAAGGGCCATCTCCGCGACCTCGTTCCTCTCTTCCCGCTTTCCTTCCTTTCCGCTACGGCTCCCACTCCTGCTCCCCCCCCACCCCACCCACCTTGATGACGATGATCGCCTCCTGCACCACGTAGCTGACCTTGGTCTGGATGAGCTCCAGCAGCACGTTGATGCAGCGCTCCGTGGCCTTCTCCAGGGCCACCGCGCAGCGGCCGATGGCGCGAACCGACCTGGGTGGCGCCAGGAGAGTGGGTGGGGGAGTGGGGGCAATGATGCAGGAGTGGGGTGGTAGAGGTATGTAGTGAGGGGTGAGGTTAGCAACAGGTTGGGAGGATAAGGCGGGGGTGAGAAAGGCGGGAAGGTGGGGCTGTGGCTCATTATATGGCCATACAAGTTCTGTATGTGGGGGCTCTTCGCCGGGTTTCGCTACTGCTACTACCACTATATTTCTAATTGTTACGCCTCACAAGGCCCATCAGGGCATGCATTCCCAGCTGCTTACTTGCGCACAAAGTCCACGTCCACCTCCTGCGCGTACTCCTTAAGCTCCAGCAGCACCTGAGGGGGAGGAGGTCGGGACATGTGAATGGGTACGGAGGAACGAGGTCGGTAGAGAGCGACAACAGGAGCGCTGCAATGTAAGTGCGGCTAATGGCTGCATTGCTGTACGGCTCCAAGCGGGTTAACGTGTGGCCGTTAGGCGGACAGCATCACACCCAGGAACGCCGAGACCGCAAAGCAGCCCTGTGCTGCATGCCCCTTACCCCTTCCAACCCCCTCCCCCCCCACCTGGTCGATGTTCTTGTCGGACGCCAGCCGAATCATGATCTCCAGCTTCTCCATCTTGACGTACAGCGGGTCGTTGTACTTGCAGAAGAACACCTGGGGGAGGGGGGGGGCCAGCAGGGAAGTAAGGAGGGGAGCGCACATGGGGTTAACCGCAACACGCAGGAGGGACCATGCGCCGCGGACTATGAAGGAACACGCCCGCCGTCCCACCCATGCCTCTTTCACAAGCCAACACACTCCCAACCGGCCCCTCCCTCTCCCACCTTGACCTCATTCGCCAGTATGGCCGGCCGCCGCTGCACGATGAGGTTAATGTTGCGCAGCGCCACGTACTGCACCTCCGGCTCCGAGGCCAGCAGCGTCACCAGCGGGGGCGCCATCTTCTTGCACCAGGCGCGGATGGTGTCCTCGCCGCCCCCGGGGCCCAGCGCCACAACGTCCATGCAGCGCAGGATGACCTGCGGGGTGCATGGTGGGGGGATGGGGTGCGGGGGTGCATGGTTGAGAGGATGAGGTGCGGGGGTGCAGGGGGTGAAGGGAGCACAGGTAGATGCGAACATGACCCTGTCGCGTCTTCCCAGCGCAACCCTCAGCTGTGCCACATGCTCACAAACAAAGAGACAAGCAAGGCATGCGGGTTCCAAGCGGAGGGTTCCAAGAGCAGCCCCCCCCCCCGCCCCCTAGCACCTACCTTGACGGCCGACAGCACCACCGCCGAGTTGACGTGCTGCAGGCGCGGCAGCACCCGCTCCGCGATCTTCTCAGCGTCCCGTGGGTCGCGAGTGTCGTAGGCAGCCAGCGAGTCCAGGATGAACACCTGCAGCCGCCGGCAGGGGGGTAGCAACAACATCCGCATCCGCATCAGCATTCAAGCCATCGTGCAAACGAACCGTGGGTCGGTGTTGTAAGGGGTTAAGGGGTAACGCAAGCCAGTACTCAAGCAGGCGAGCAAGGAAGTCATGGAGCCGGAGCCTTCGATGCCCCCTCTTACTTCGCCACTAGACACCTGCAACCCACTGCTCTCCTCTCCTACCCTCCAGCCTGCCCCCTCCCACCTGCCCCCACTCTGTGCACTCGTTCAGCGCCGCCAGCAGCTTGTTCAGCGTCTGGGTGGTCATCTGCAGCAGGTCCTTGCCGCCGCTGCTGGCCAGCTCCTGGATCTCCTGAGAGGTTCGGGAGGGCCACGAGAGGGAAGGGGTGAGGTGGGGTCGAAAAAGGGGAAAGGGACGAGGGAAGGAGGCCCAGCAAGGGGGCTGGGAAGGGAACGGAGAGGGCTTATGCGGAGGCTCTGGCCCCCTAAGGATGAGTCTAGTCCAGTGAACAGACCCAACACTCCTCGACTTAGCCCACGAGAGCGTTCACAACGGATGTCGAGTGTTACCCAGCTTGCATGCATGCAGCGACGCGCTTCAAAAGCAGCTGCCCAACACATTCACACGGGTCCTCACGTCCATGTCCAGCTTGATCATGGCTTCCCTTTATGGATCCCTCTCCCTTCCCTCGTCCAGCCCGTTACGATTACCGGTACAATAACCCCCATACCCGTCACCTCGCACCCCCACCTGCAGTGCTGCCAGCGCGTTCGCGACCACCATGGGGTTAGCATCACTCAGCATCTCCTGTGGGCACAGGCGGGCAGCCAAGAGAGGGAAGAGGAGGGGCGAGAGATCAGCGCGCGCGCCGCATGACGCCTCCTTGGGTAGCGGTTCACTAAGAACAAGACCCACTTCCCAGCATCCGCAAACCCACATGCGAAGTCCGAGCTAGGCATCCACAACATGGCATGCACTAGGGCTCCTGGTCCAGAGGTGCCATCTTTTGGAACCCTGCTGACCCGCATCACCCATTGACCCGACCCGACCCAGATCATAAGCCCGCAGGCCTCTAGGGCCCATCCTTAATGACGTCTAGCTCGGCCAGACATGTCCAGCGTTGGTTAGGTAGTGCCACCCGGCGACTGCAGGGTTGCGTTGACGCGCTGCTTTGGAAGCGCTTACTCGCTCGCTGCTTCTCCCGATTCAATCCCCCATGTACCCACACTCTTCACACTCTTCCTTACACCATTCTTTCCAGATGTACCCACATCATAGCGCCGTAGCCCACGCTTGTGGGCCACTTACCCTCTTCCTCCCTCTGCCATGCCATGCGCACCACATGCCATGCGCACCACATGCCAGGCACACCCATGCGAAGTAATGCCTTAAGCCCGCTTATCGTGCTTTATTCAAGCCCTTGGGCGCCAACCGAGCCCTGCATCTTTGCACCGCATTTGCGTCCGCGCTTCCCACACAACCCCACAGCGGAGTCCCAACCCACTATCACTCATCCCCTCTAACCCACATCCACATCTTTAACCCACCCGCAGCGGAACACCCCACACCCTGACCCACCCGCAGCATGTCCAGGAAGCCGCGGTCCTCCACCAGCTCGGGGTTGATGTCGTACAGCTTCGCCACGCAAACCGCCGCGGTTTTCCGTACATATGGGTCATCGTCCTGTAGATGAGGTGATGGTAAGAAAGGGACGGGCCAGGTAAAGGGGCGTGGGGACATGGGGAGTGCAGGCAGAAGCTGGAGCGCAGGGTGTGTGATTTCGGGTGGCTAAGCCGCCGCCACTTTGCAGGTGTGAGCCTAGGGTGTGATGAAGGGCACGTGCGTACTCGTGGGCACGGAGGAATCGGGCAAGGGGATCTAGCAGTGCATTATCTGTTTGCGGTAACCCAAGAAGCACACCTTTAGGCAGCGTTGAAGGGGATCGCACAGGTACTCCGTGATTTTGTCCACCCGGATGCAACCCATCGTGCGAACAGCCAGCGCACGAATGAGAGGGTTCGGATCTTGGGAGTCCTGTGAAGCGTGTGTGAAGAGGGGGCAGGGACATAACGTTTAGGAACTGGGCAGCATGCTCATAAGCAAGAGTATAGGGAAGGAAAACGAAGTGAAGGGCAGACTTGTGGGAAAGGTGAAACAAGCATACGACCATAGCAACCCGAAGACGGTCCAGCTTCCATGCATTACGCACCTTCACAAACGTATTCACGGCCATAATCGCCAGGTCCGGCTGAGTTTTCGCGTAGTTGATGAGGTATAGGTAAACCAGCTTCTTAAGCTCCAGGTCGTCCGTTTGCATGCAGTTGACCACATCCGGGAAGAGCATGGACACATCCTTCCCCACAGTCATAGCCGCGATGACCTTCTTCACCGCATCCTTCTTCTTTGGCCTATCAAGGCTCCTGAGCTCCTCCTTGAGCTCATGGATCTCACCTAGCACCAAGGGAGGAACTCCGTTCAGTGATCGCGCGCGAAGTGTCCTGCCAAACTAGTTCCATGTGACATCGCCCACCTCGCTTTGTTGTTGAAAAGTATTTGCCGTCAGACATTCTTCCCGGCGCGCCGGGCTCAAGCTAGGGGCTCTTTAGCCCCAATCGCAAAGTTCCTTACTTCCGATTCAGCGCTTGTGTTGATCCAACTACTGGCAACTAATAACAAAAGAGTGCGTACAGTTTTGCAAGGCAATATGGTACACGGTGGCTAAGGGGTTGGAAGGGTGTGCAGGACAACGGCAATCGAGGAAACGATTTAGTTCAAGCGCACCGCCTTGCTAAGCTGAAAGATAATTAAATGTCACGCGTATAGCTTTACTGCCTGAGGCAACCTCAAGAAGTACTGCCCCCGAAACCTCATGCATTAGTCGTCGCAACCCTTGCAAAGCCCGATCACTTGTTGCCGTCTCCAATCATTGCCCCATCAGTAGGTTATTGGTTCCAAGTCCATGCACTGCTAGTCAGTTGCAGGTTCTTGGAAACATAGTCATTCGCAACATTCCACTGGTTCAATCGGTCCCTGCGGCCATCCCTCATAGCGCATTTGGTAGGCTAATTGCTAACCAAGAATAAATCTGTCACAACGGACATCCCTCTATGTAGCATAGCCCATCAAAGAGCGCAATCTGAAAGCCAAAGTCCCGACCCACGGGACCGCTTCCTTTCCAAACAACGCAGCCTTTCATCACCACAGCAATCAATACTTACATTGAACCACATCTCATGGCGCCCAAGTCCGTTTCCCTCGCGGCGGCAGCGCTCCTCATCTCACTCGCAGCCGCCGCCTCAGCGCTACCAACCGCAACCACCACCGCCGCCCCTAATAACCCCCACAGCAGCACCCGACGCTCTCTCCTCCAAAGCACCACACCTCCTTCCTCCTCCTCTTCCTCCTCCTCCTCCTCCTCCAACGCCAGCCCCACCGGCCATGCTGCTACAGCCTCCTCCCTGGAGCTCTCCGGCGCCCATGGCCCCCCCTGGCGCCTCCGTAACGCCAACGCCAGCCTGTCGGACCTGCCCGCTGCCGTACCCGGCTACCCGCTGGCGGCCCTGCGGGAGGCGGGGGTGCTGGGGGCGGCGGCGGGGGACCCCAGGAGCGACCCGCTGTACAGGTGAGGTGGGGAGGGGCGGAAGGGGAGGAGTGCATGGGGGCAGGGGGGGCGAGGGGACGCAGGGGGTCCGGGGTATGACTGGTTAGAGGTCTCTGTAGGTTATTGGGCTAGCTGTACAGCGTGTGAGGAGGTAATGAGTGAATGATGGATGAAGGCGGTCGAAGTGGTCGATGTGCGAGGTAACCACCAGCTGACCGCAAGGAAAGTGGCTTTTGCTGTGTCCTCCTGTTGCGTCGCACCCCATACGACAAACTGCTGCGTTCTCCTGCTGTGTCATTTACGACAACCACTGCTCACGCAGGTTCAACGAGCTGGAGTTCCGATGGGTTACGATGGACACCTGGACGCTGTACACCTCCTTCACACTGCCGGCGCCGCCACTTGATGACGGCGGCAGCGACAGCAACGAGGCCGCTGCGGGGGGCGTGGAGGGGCGCAGCAGCAGCGGCGGCAGCAGCACCGGCACAAGCGGCGGCACCGGCACAAGGGGTGATAACGGCAGCGGTAGCGGTGGCAGTGACAGCGGCAACGATGACGACTACAGCCGGAACGACTACGATGGTGAGGGAGCTGACATCAGCGTGGCTGAGGCGGAGCAGCAGGCAGGCGGTGGGGGTGGGGGTGGTGGGGACAACCGCAGGGGTGGTGACACTGGCACCCGCAGTGGTGTTGACGGTCTCAGCAGCAGTGATGACCGCAGGAGAGGCGGCACCAGCACCAGTAGTAGCACCAGCAGTAGTGGCAGTGGCAGTGCTGATGATGCGGGTTGCGGGTGTGATCTGGTGCTGGAGGGCGTGGACACGGTGGCGGATGTGCGGCTGAACGGGCGGCTGCTGGGGCGAGTCAAGAACTTCCACAGGTGGGTGGGTGGGTGGATGGTGGTGTAACTGGGAGCGACCGACTGCTCTTGACCGCCGTTATTGGCCGTAAGAAACCTACTCTGTGCTACCTGTGCTTACCTGATGACAACGGACTTGGTTCGAATGGCCATGTTCAAAGGCGTAGCCGAATGGCGTTGATGAGGGTGACCGCATGCGCGCGTACATGCGGGGCGGTGTCCTGCGGGCTCCCTAGAATGCGGACACGAGTAAGAGGTGCATGTGGAAAAGGAAGTTATCACGTAACCCATAAAGCCATAAGTTACCGGTCTCACATGTATAACTCCGCATCGCCTCCTGCAGGAGCTACCGGTTCGACGTACGGCAGCTGTTGCGGCCGCCCTCCCAGGGCCCCAACGAACTAGCCATCGTACTGCACCCTGTGGTGCCGTACGTACGACAACAAGCAGCGGCGTATCCGTACCCCATGCCCTCCAATACGGTACGCCGTACGCGCAGCGTTGTTGGACTTGCGCGTGTATGTGTACGGCTATACATGTTGTGAATGAGGTCTAGGTGGCTCTGTTTGCCGCGGCTTTTATGCCTCTCGTTATGCCCTCTGTTAGCCGCGTTAGGGCCCCTTGTATGCCTTTCCTACTGGCTCTTTTAAGCCTCCCTCCCTACTTCCCTTCCTGCTCCCTTCCTCCTTACCTCCCTGCTTCCCTCCCTCGCTTCCCGCAGGCTCCCGGCTCCTTCGGCCAGTTCGCCTTCATCCGTAAGCCCGGGTCCGACCTGGGCTGGGACTGGGGACCTGCCTTCGCGCCGGTTGGGATCCACGGGGCCGTACGACTGGTGCGGTACTGCGTGCCGTACGTGGCAGGTGGGCCGGGGGGGGAGGGGGGAAGGCAGGGGAAAGGCAGGTTGGCAGGGGGACGGCAAGGGTAAAGGCAAGGTGTGCGGTACTCCCAAGCATGGCGCAGTAAGCAGGCGGGGAGGAGGGACGCTGCAATGTCCCTGGTCGCGGGTAGCATTATGGGGCGCTGGGCTGGGCAGCGTGAGGGGGGCGATGGCGTTAGAGCGGTACATGCTGATACCGGGCTTCCCTTCTTGCTGCTGCTCCTCCCCCTTCCCTACAGGTCTTCACGTACTGGAACAAGTCCACAACACCACCAACCCAACGGCCGGCACAGCCACCACCACCACCGCCACCACCACCGCCACCCCAGCAGCACCTGCTGCCGGTGCAGGGCCCGCAGCCCCCGGCCCCGCACCTGCAGACGGGCCGGGCATGCTGGCAGCGGGGGCAGCAGCAGGAACCGCTTACGCCAGATACCCCGAGGCGGCGGCGCAGGGAAGTATCAGAGTGAAGGTAGAGGTGGAGATCTGGACGCCTCCGCCCCCGCCCCCGCCCCCGCCCCCGCAGCAGCAACCTCAGCAAGCACAACAGGTACGGCAGCAGCAACAGCAAGTCGTGATTGTTGAGTTGAGGGGACCGGAGAACTTGTACGACGACGGCAGCAACCGCAACAGCAGCAGCAGCAACAACAACAGCGGCAGTAATGGTGGTTTGGGTGTGCTGCTGGCACGAGCGGAGCGACCCATGGGTCAGCGGCTGCTGCAGTCGGCCGGACGTCACTTCCTGCAGCTGCAGCTGGAGGTGGATGCGGCGGCGGTGCAGCTGTGGTGGCCGGTGGGTTTCGGAGCGCAGCCGCTGTACCGCTTGGCCGCTTGGGTGGAACAGCAGCAGCAACAGCAGCAGCAACAGCAGCAGCAGGTTTCTCAGGAGCAGGAATCACAGCAGCAGCAGCAGGGTGAGGCTTCGCAGATGAGTGGGGGTCAAGCTGGGGGCAGCCAGCAGCGGCTGGCTGGTAGTGCCTCAACAGGCAATGATGTCAATGCTTCAATAGGCAACACAAACAGCAGCGGTAGCAGTGGTAGCAACAGCAGCAGCAGCGGCAGCGGCGCTAGGACTGCAGCAGCAGGGGGCGGAGCAGCAGGAGGAGCAGCAGGTGGAGGTGGCGGTTGGTCGTGGCGACGGCTCCCAGGTGCCGCCGGAGAGCTGCCGGTACAGAGGTGCGTGCGTGTGTATTAAGTCGGAACGTACGCGCGCGTGTGTGTGTGTACGGTGCGTGTGTTAAGAAAACTGGCCGCGAGTCGGAACGTGTGGATGGGTGTGGGTGTGCAAGACGACTAGATGCGTAGTTGTGTAGCGAGGAGCACACGTGCGCTGTTCCATGACGACCATGAGAGCCCCCATGTTTTGCATGACCCCATGCTTCCCTTGCCTGCATCATGCTCCTCATCATGCTCCTTACAACCCAGCCGGAACGGAGCTGAGTGCGATGAGCACATGGCTACAGTGATAGCCCGCTAGCCTCTTGTGCTTGCCACCAACCCTCACCTGTTTCTTTCCTGCAACCGAAAGATAGAAACACATTAGCCCTCACCTGTTTTTTTCGGCCGCAAACAAAACATGGAAACACACAACCACGCAGGCGCATGGGTTTCCGTACCGTGGAGCTGGTGACTGCTCCCATGTCGGAGGCGGCGAAGGAGCTAGCAGGCGACAGTAGCGGGGACAGTCTGGGCGACGTCGACCCGCACCACTTCACGGAGTGGCCCTGGGCCAACCTGACGGGCTTCGTACCGGGTGGGTTGGGGTGGAATGGGTGTTGAGGGTAGGGTGGGTGGGGGTGGGGATACCATTCCCAGCATGTACCGCCCCATATACCTATTCGCCACCTCCTCCGCCAATACCTCCTCCTGCTCCACATGCATGTGGAATTGGGACTCCCGTTGCCGCACTTTCTCATTTACTTATTTACTTTCCCCTGCACCTCCCCAACCAGCCCCCGCCGAGTCCTTCTACCTGCGAGTCAACGGCCGGCCCGTGTTCGCGCGCGGAGCCAACCTGATTCCGCTGGCGGTGCTGCACACCGACCCGCGGGTCGCGGGACCCGGGGGACTGGCGCGCCTGCTGGCGGCGGCGCTGGGCGCGGGCATGAACATGATCCGCATTTGGTGAGTTCTTACTTAAACCAGGTAGTTCTTATACCCGGTAACTCATATACCGGGTTGTGCGAGTGACAGGATAGGAGGTTGTAAGACGGTTTTATGGTGGATGGGTTGTAACTTGTAAGACGGTAGAGGTGTGGTAGCGATACGTCCGGTGTGACAGCGGTACTGCTTTGCCACCTATGCCGTTCATAGCGTAACGGCTGCTAATTAATGCCAGCGGCTATCTCTTGCGATATGCAACCACGTTCCGGACTTAATCAAGCACGTCTAACGCTGGTGGCTGGTACAGTCTGCGCGATATCCACTGGAAAAGCCCCAGGAAAGCCCCCCCATTTTCCTTCGTTGCCTCCCC